TTCCCTTCATTATTATGGATATCCTCGTCATTTCGTGCTGTCATTAGAAAAAAGTCGTCCCCTATCACTATGCCCCTTAAGTGGTATATTTTGGCGTCCTAAAAAAATTATAGATTCTATTATAGGAGTCAATCTTTGCTGATTTTCTGATACTTGCTTAATTCGCGCAGCACCTATTATATTTCTTATATCATTCTCTGGATTTTCGTAAAACTTTAAAAGGTTTGTAGCATCTGAAACTGCTTCTGTATGATATATTGAGTTCTGATGTGTCTCACAATCACCGCTTTTGCCATACAATTTCGAAAATTGCTTTAGTGGTACGGTAACAAGTTTTCCCAATTTAGTTGATTTATGTAAAAACCACGCAATATTTACAGAAAAGCCCTTGTAGTTCCTCTGAATATGACAGCCAAGGAAATTTCTCAAAGTGTTTTTTTGATAAGTAACATTTCACTAGGGATCATTAAACACCTGAATAAGGTATATTTTTCATGGGAATACAAGTTGCCGCTGAAATTTACAAATGGCGCAACATCAACAACATTGGATCCTTCAGGTTTCGCACTTGATTGTTCAACACTTGGCTCAGCATACAGTGCAGCATCAAGAAATTTCGAAGTGGATGGCTCGGGGTGAATTGTAGGATTATGATCAGTTTTTTCCGGTAATTCTTGTGCCGGTGGATCAGACAGTTTGTTTTGTTTAGAAAGGAACCAATCGATGGTTCTGTTTCCTTTTACTCATCCTGGCAACAGCAACCGTCAACCATCAGTAAAAGTTACACAAATATTGTCAAATAAACGGCATTATTGGTTTTCACGCATTCATGTATCTCATAACAAAGAACCTTTTCTGTTCCTAAAACAAGATTTATTAAGTTCACGCAATTTTCAAAAACTGGGCACATATATAATTTGCCATTTCGGACGAACGAAATACACTGAAGTGCTTATATACCGGAACTTCTAAGACAAAATAGACATAGATGATAATGATAGCTGGAGTATGGACCAAACACTTCGTAATTGAAATTATATTAAATTTCCATTTTTCCGTCTGTCATTTTTTTAGACCCGATTCTTTTATAGTATAAACATTAAAAACAAACAAAAATTAATTTTCTGGCTTATGCGTGGAACATAAAAAATCAATAGAAGATAGAAAATAGCGTAACCAGATCAACAAAACTCCGCTTGTTCACTTCTCGGCCAAATCTTGTTGCGGACTCCGGACAGAATTTACACACTAGGCTAGACTGTACCTGTTCCAACAGGAAGAAGCGCACACCGTTGCTGTTGGTGGGAGAGTAGTCGCTAGTCGCATGCGCACTGCGTGGGTTGGCAGTGTTAATTACCTCCTACCTCCTTTACCACCCCCCGTGGGAGCGCCAGTGCTGGGGACTGACGACTAATATTGTATGGACCTCTTTGACTGACTTGATCCGTTGAATTGAATTTGGTATTAGAGAAACTATTGATCATCCGTCGATTCTTCGATTATTATCAAGACCGTACATGTGACTTTTATATCATAGCCAGGTTGTCGATCCAATGTACGAAATGCTAATTCTACAATGTACATCCTGTCCTAACTTCACCTTTCTCATTTTATCCAACATTTTCACCTCGCAAATTGACTCTAGCTGAGATGTGTTTATTCGTTGAATGGCGCCCTGAATATTACGTCTATTCACGTAGATGTTTTTATGCACGTTTTTAAAAAGCTCCCCGGAACTCGTTTTCATGATTTTTTGAGTGGCCTATCCAATTTTCCATAGGCCACAGAAGACGTCACGGTACAAGGTCGTATCGTAAGGTGATTTATGTATTCTGAAAAACAATATTGGTAGTAATAATAGGCTTTAAGAATATTCAGACATGTAAATAATCTATCGCGCCCATGGGGATGCGGTTTTGATAAAAAATCATCCTTACAAGTCTAGTTCACCAGATAAAATCTCCGTTGAATTTAGTCTGCACTTGAATCAGAAAATTTGATTGTGACAAAGATCCTCGTAAAATCACTACTTTCTGTCCGGAAATTTGGATTTTGTTATTAAACGCTCGAGGCAGCAGTTCATTGGACTTTTCCAATAGCGGGTGTTTTGAAAAATAAACAAATATTTTCAGGTACTAGATTTAATAAAAAAAAAACAGGTAAGTCTGTCTGTTTGATGCTTACCAATTCTTTTCGGATTTCGTTCACAAAAGAATGGGGTCAAGTAGATTGACTCTCTACTTGCCACGGCTTCTAGTACAATGCTCCATGTACCACAGTGGCATCAAATAGACGTAGTGCACAGTTTGGTCTTTTCTTGAAAAAACTCTTCAGATTGCTGCAATCAGCGAGTTCGTACACGGTAGCCTCATGTCCTTGAAGCTCTGCTGTACAACTCTTAGCTAACAATGTTTGATAACTGATTATAATAACTCTTGACTCGTACTTATAATGGGTGATTTTTTTGCTAGTATCTTTTTGGCAACAATGTTTTTGACAGATGACCCGTGAATCGTGTCTTGTGTCATTGTCAAACTTGTTCAGTTTGGTCTATAATTTAACCATGAAGCGACTTACGAACGAACAACGCTTGCAAATTATTGAGTTGTACTATCAAAATTCATGTTCGGTTAAGAGAGTGCATCGAGCACTGCTTCCAATTTATGGGCAATTTGGTCGGCCTACTGAGGGAGCTATTCGGAAGCTTGTGACTAAATTTCGAACCCAGTTTACATTATTGGACATTAAACCACCAACACGTAGACGTAGAGTGAGGACTGAAGAAAATATTGCGGCTGTATCCGCCAGTGTTAGTGATGACCGTGAAATGTCGATTCGCCACCGTTCGCAGCAATTGGGCCTCTGTTACTCCACTACGTGGAAAATTTTGTGACAGGATTTGGGCGTAAAACCTTATAAGATACAGCTGGTGCAAGAATTGAAGCCACACAACCTCCCACAACGATTCCAATTTGGTGAATGGGCGCTGGCAAAGTTGGAGGAAGATCCACATTTTTATCGAAAAATTGTGTTCAGCGACGAAACTCATTTCTGGTTGAATGGGTACGTTAACAAGCAAAATTGCCGCATCTGGAGTGAAAACCAGCCAGAAGAATTGCAAGAGCTACCAATGCATCCCGAAAAAATCACTGTTTGGTGTGGATTATGGGCCGGTGGCATCATCGGGCCGTACTTCTTCAAAGACGACAATGGCCGGAACGTAACTGTGAATGGCGAGCGCTACCGTGCGATGATAAACTTTTCTTTGCCCAAAATGGAAGAGCTGGTCTTGGCTGACATGTGGTTTCAACAAGACGGTGCCACATGCCACACCGCACACGAAACAATGGCCCTATTGAGAGGCGAGGTCGGTGAACAGTTTATCTCACGTTTGGGGCCCGTCAATTGGCCGCCTAGAGCGTGTGATTTAACGCCGTTGGACTATTTCTTGTGGGGCCATGTTAAGGCTAATGTCTACAGGGATAAACCAGCAACGATTGATGCACTGGAAGCCAATATTGAAGCATTTATTCGTGAGATACCGGCCGATATGTTGGAGAGATTGTGCCAAAATTGGACCTTGCGCATGGGCCATCTAAAGCGGAGCCGCGGCCAACATTTACATGAACTAATCTTTAAACATTAAATTATATCGACCGTTCTATCGACTCAAATAAAGATTTATTCGTTTTTTCAAATTTTTTGTGCTTTTTTGAAAATCAAATCCTATACCTCTTAAAAAATCACCCGTTAGTATACAAAGTGTTCCAAATTCCACCATCCCCATTGGGACCTCTAAACTGTAAGAAATACGAAGTCGCTTATACGGGGGCAATGTTGCGTATTCAGGTAATCAACAAAATGTCATTTATCAAGTTTCGAAATTCAAAGTACTTCTGGACTTCGTATCTCTTACAGTTTCCGAGATCCCAGTGGTGAGGGTCAAATTTGAAATACCCTGTATATGGTAATATATACTATCGCGTCCACCTCGTAAGTGTATATCGCGCGATCGCGCGTCTGCTACCTCCTTTAAGAACTCCCTCCACTATCAAAGATGCAATATTGACAATTACATGGCGTATGGTAAGTGCGACCGATAGGTGCGCGATACGTCTGTCGAATTTTTTTTTTTTTAAGGACAAATGTAGGAGGGAATCTATGATGTGTGAAATATGTCTAATAGATGTATAGAATTACCGGGGTTTTGAGTATATCATCCAAAAACAATCTCATATTCAAAATACTTCCTCGTCAGTGGGCATGGAAAATGATACTCAAAATCGTTTGCAACGCTCGAGGTTGTCTAGGGTCTAGACCCTCATTTGTGCCCACTTCGGTACTGTATACAGGTTGTCTCAGAAATAACACGCCAAGGTGACACGGAAGGTAGATTGGCTTCAACCTTTACTAAGGTCACGTTGATTTTATCAGGCAGCAGCGGTGGCCGCACTAGTAGACTCTTCGGTCTCCTGATCAGTCGCCGTGCGCTGTGCGGGTTCGAGTCCCGTCCAAGGAGAAATTTTTGTCTTGGCTATGGATGTTGTGATTTTCCGTAGGTGGTAGACGGTCTCTGACTGTCGAACGTGGAGGTACCACCCGGCGGATCTCGTAGGCAGAGCCAGAATGTGTGCATGTTGCATGCACACGTGTTCTCTCGCCAGAGTCCGTGTGGCGTTCCCCCTTTCCCCTGTATCCCCCTATAACCCCACGGTACCCAATGGGTGCTTAGGCCTTAGGCCTTCGTGGTAGTTGGAGTATAAAAAAAACAATCTGATTGATCTGCAGCCAGTTCACCTCCCGTGCCACTCTGGCGTGTGGTTTCTGGGACCACCTGTATCTACCTCTTTACAGGAGTAAACAAAAACGAAAACGATATGAATACACTCGCGATAACAGACTTTCGAAAATACCGAACCAAGATTGTATCGGCAAATTTGTTATTGCTATGGAAGTGTCAATGTTTATTTTCAAGATTTTAAATAAAGTAACATACCCTGTGCTGAACATTTTTATTTCATTACAAGTATATTTTATTTACAAATCGTGTGAATCAGCATAACGTTGATAACACAGCGTTAAATTTTTATTACAGATCGATCTATATGATACAATAGTTCTTAAAACTAGTTTTAAAGTTCCACAGAACTTAATGACTATGCATTTGATACTGAACATTATCGGACATTTTGACAAAATGTTCCTCTAAATTCCAGTTATTCGCATTTTCCGTCGACACATCGAGACTTGATAACATCTCTATAATAAAGCGCTGATTTCTTGATAGTTCTCTTACGTTCAGGATCCGTAAAGTCTACGTGGTACAGTCCGAATCGATCCCTAGAAAAATTAAATTTTTATATTTTTCTGATAAAAATGTGGTCATAGTAAGGGAAAATACTAAATTCCATAGAAGCTCTTGCAAGGAATCATATAGGAACAAGTCATTGAATATATTGAAGAAAATAAGATACTGATAAAATTTCAAGCAGGATTCAGAAAAAAAGTATTCTACTGAAACAGCAATTCAAATGGTAGTATAAGAATGGAGGCGAAATATGGATGAAAAAAAGTTTACAGTAACATTGTTCTTAGATTTCAAGAGAGCATTTCAGACTATTGACAGGGAGAAATTGTTAACGAAATTGCATCGCTATGGATTTCAAGGTTCTGTATTCAACTTATTACAAAATTGTTTAATCAATAGAAGTCAAAGAACTAAAATTGGCAATACATTATCAAATATTAAAAACATTTCGGTAGGTGTACCACAGGGTAACAAATTAGGTCCATTACTATTTATTTTATATATTAACGAGGTTCCTGATATTTTACAACACTGCAAAATTCAACTATATGCTGATGATACATTTATATATCAAATAAAGACATTGAAATTTAAATAAAGCTGTTAATCAATGATATGAAAAACGTAATAAATTGGTTAAATGTAAATAAACTTAAACTAAACACAAACAAAACAAAATATATGCTAATAGGAAAATCTTTATATCAAAATACGAATCATTTAAATATTTGGGCATATACGTAGACAGTAAATTTAAATTTGAAGGGCATTTTGAATATATTATTTCAAAAATATCCAAGAAAATAAATTACTTTTATAGACATAATATATTTTGTGATATACTGTGTAATATGGATATTATGGATATTGTAGCATTAATACTAAATAAATCTGAAACAAACATACAAACAAGCATATATAAAATTGACATTGTTGCAAAATATCACGATTTTTTCAATTAAATTGTGATCATGAGTTGTTCTCTTTTCGTCTGAAGTCTGAAGCAATATTTAATTGTTGATGTAGAACAAGTAGTTGTAACTCTTGTGTTGACAAGTTTTCGGTTCTTCTTGCTTAAACTGTTTCTTCCTTGTCTATCGTTTCTGAGGGTAAAGGAAGTAACTGTGAACTCATACTAGTTGATCCGTTAGTTCCGATGGAGCAACACCCAAGAACTTTTACGAATACTGGATTTTTTTCATAATTCAGTATTTCCAAGAATTCATTTTCATACTCACCCAGTTTAATTTTTTTGTTACCAGTCGTATTTCTTACAGTTTTTTTCTTTACATTTGTTTTCATGCAATTGAGGATTTTTTCAATTTCTCAATGGTAATACTTTTACCGGAAGCCTTGAAAAATTCGTCTTTGATATTCGTCCATGCTTTTTCTTTAGCTTGAACAATCGACGTAATCATTGATTTATTCAAAACAACTCTATGATTTTCCAATAACCTGGCGAATACAACTCTCTGACAGCCAATCTGGACAGGTAATTCTTCCTCACTCGACGACATGATTATTGCAATACCTCTAAATCTTGTTCGACAACTAACATAGTATACACCGTATCAAGAAGATACAGACATGTCGTGACTTGTCTTGCAAGCGCAACCGTTAACACGGATATCCAAGTAAATACTTATAATTGTGATAAGTAGTAACGCTCCTTTCACACTACCGGATTTCGCTCGTACGGGAAATAATCGCCCGGGCAATTTTTTTTGATCGACTGTTGACGAGCACGAGACGTTTCACATTGCACGATTACAACAAGGGCACGTTTTCAAACGCGTTGCAGCACAGCCGACGTCAACTACGAGCCGTGAACAAAGAAATCTGGCAACGTAGGTGGTAGTGTTACTCCCGCCGCTGCTTGCTGCATCGACGCAACTCGTGCTCAAAACGCTGAGAAAACATAACCTTTTCAATTTGTGATTTTGGAATCCCAGAGGCTGTAATTAAGAGATAAGCTTGTTTTCTAAGCTTCAAAGTGTGTGTATGTGTTCAAAGTGATCAGTGACTATAATATATGAGAAATAGACTCCAGTTGTAGTGCTTCTGTGCTTTAAAAATAAACTAAGAAGTGTGACTGTGGCTGTTCGCGCCTGAGGACGCTAAGGATTTCAACTACTGAAAACGTGCAAATTCAGGTTGTATTTTTCTTTTTTCATTTATCAAGTATTTGACTCAGACAATATGCCTTGTTGTTGCTGTGTTCCTTTATGCAATGCAAACTATAATTCTGCTTTGAAAACAGAAAGCTATGTTTCAACTTTTCGCTTCCCAAGTACCGAAAGTCTGAAAAATAAATGGCTTATGGCAATTCCCAGAAAAAAATTGGACACCTTCAAAATATTCAGCTGTGTGCAGTCGTCATTTTAGAGAATCGGATATCATCAGGACAGAAAATATAGTTTTGGCGGATGGAACAGTCCAAAATAATATACCTTTAAAATATCCAAAATTGAAAGAAAATGCTGTTCCCTCCATTTTCCCAAACTTGCCATCATATCTTTCAAAAACTGAAGCACCCAAAAGAACTGACCCAATGCAAAGAAAACAAAAATTAATTGAGAAACATGAAAAAGCTATCCAGAATTTCGATGATATGGATAAGATCAAAGATAAATTTAGTTCAAAAATGTGGATTTGAAGTTATTTGTGTTGTTACTGATAATCACCAAATTAATAGAGCAATGTTCAGGAAATTAGCAAAGGATTCATCAGAAAATTATTCTATTCCAAATCCACATAATCCTGATAAGAGCATATATTTAACTTATGATGTTGTGCATAATTTCAAGAGTATCAGAAATAATTGGATTAATTTAAAAAACCTAGACAAAACTTTTGTATATCCTAATTTTGACAATAATGATATTATTCAGTATGCTAAATTTGAAAACATTCGTGCTGTATATCAATTGGAAAAAGAAGCTGTAGTTAAGAAAGCATATAAATTAAATTATAAAACATTGCATCCAAATTCATTTGAAAGGCAAAATGTAAATTTTGTAGATAATTTATTCCATCACTCAACAATAGCTGCTATGAAAGAATTAAAGTTTAATGATGCTGCACACTTTTTGGAAATAATCAGGAATTGGTGGGATATTGTCAGTAATACAAGTGTAATAAAAGGAGAATTGAAGCGAAACGAATTTTGTAAGCCTATTACCAATAAATATGATTATAGAGTACAATTTTTAAAAAAATTCCTGATATGGTGAGAAAAATGGCATAATCTAGAGAATAATAATGGACACCTGACACCAGAAACGTATACAGCTCTATATCAAAGCACACTGACTCTACTTAATATAATTGAATATTCATTTAATCAATTTGACATTGAGTATGTATTGCCTGGAAAATTCACCACTGATAATTTAGAAAAACGATTTGGCAATTATAGACTTTTATGTGGCTGCAATTACAATGTGTCATATGATGAAATTTTAAATGCTGAAAAGAAAATACGGCTGAAGCATATTTTCAATGAAAAGAAATCGGCATTTTCTTTAGCAGAAATTAAACCAAGGTTCCAAATCTGCTTAGAAACTCAAGAAAATTTTTATTTCTTGGATACCAAACAAAATCCTGAAGTTTTGGATATATTCAATGAAGTATTTGAGACAAATTACTAAGCCATGTGACATAGAGGATAGTACTAAGACTTATATATCTGGATATGCTTCACACGCTATCTCTAAAAACCTAAACTGCGAGATATGCAAATCGCTAATAGTTAAAGAAAACGGTTCATTAACAACAAATGTTTATTTTGATCATTTGCAAAGAGGAGGACTGTCAATTCCAACCAGTTATGTACCAATCATATTCTACCATATGTATGCCATTTTTGAATCTATTATTAATGTAGATAGATTGGAAATTTTCTTCTTGAAAAGCAATAATCAAAAATTTATTTTGTGTCAGTTAACCTTGCTCAGCATTCTGTCTGACTTTATATACAGTGAATTTTCTTTAACTTGCATCTGTGGCCGCAATTATGCAGATATTTTATCTAAGCTTTTGTTTATTTTTTTAAACATAATTTTGAATGATTATGTAAAATTGAAAAATAACAGTAAAACTGAAAGCAAATGTATTAAAAACAAACAGGCAACTCCACATTTCCAAGCTGGGCCTGTTGGAACACAGTGTGCTGACACCAAAAAACGTAAACTAAATACTTTTAATTAGGTTAACTGCATTAGCGACTCATATATATCACGATTATTTCGTAATTTTAAATTTTTTAGAGCTATTTCATATTCAGACGATTTGTATCGAATCGAACTGTCCTCTTTTCCAAAATTAAATTTAGTTCTTGAACGTTACACGGAGACGGAGCACACAGCCGCTGGCGGCCGACGTTCACAGGTAGCACTACCATGCCGTCCGAGCGCGGTGTTGCCTTTCTTCCATCACGGCTCGTAATGTTGGACCAGCGAAAGATTGCAAGCCGAAAGAATGCGGACAAAAAATTGCGAAGTTGTCAGATGTTCTACATAAAATGCGGTCCATACATATTAACATATTTAAGATATAGAATTGTTCCGCTGAATTTGGCAATGTAGCTGGAAAACCCAGGCCGCAGGTAAACATCCGGTCGCTGATTGGTCCAAAACTCTTATCTTATCTGAAACTAGAATAACGTGCCGATGGCACGGTCATTTATAAACCTACTCCCATAGGCGTAGGCAGTTGGCAAATACTTTGAAAATATAATTTACTGTTTAGTGGTGATAATGGAATTCAAGCATGGGAAAGTTATTCACAGCCAGGCAAGGGAAATAATAGCAAACGTGATACGTGCTTGCGATGCAGAAGCGGCTAACAATACTTTCGTTTATCCACTGGTAGCTAGAAATGCAAGGGCGGCATATTATACGGGTGTTAGTGAACGAACTATAAGTAAAATTAGAAAAGAAGATAAAGACAGGCAAAATGCAACCTCCACACAGCCTTTAGCTTCTCCCGGAAAAAAGAGATCACGCCCTTCTGTGATCCAAAAAATTGATGGAGTCGATTTTTCCATTATTCGGAGAATGATAGAAAAATTTTACTGTGATTTTAAAGTGGTACCTACTTGTAGTAAACTTCTAATCAAACTGAAGGAAGAAATGGAATTTCCATTTGGTAAAGAATCGTTGAGGCTGCTTTTAAAAGCAAAAGGATTTTACTGGCGTAAATGCCACAACAAAAGGAAATTACTAATGGAAAGACCCAGTATTTTACATTGGCGATACAAGTATCTTAGGTCTATTAAAAAGTTCCGGGAAGAAGGAAGGCATATTATTTATTTGGACGAAACTTGGGTTGATAATGACCTCACTTTCAAGAAATGCTGGCAAAGCGAAGAAATTATGGGTGTCCTGAGCAATATAAGTTCTACAGGTAATAAAGTTTCTTTCACCTCGATTTTGCTTATTATACATTTTTCTCAATTTTGGAATATTCTTAATAAGTGCTCATTTAATTTGTCTAATTGAATACATAATCCCTTGCAAGTATTTTTTTCTCAAAAATATGTTTTTTATACATAGTGATTCAAAAAGGTGTTGGCAAACTTAAAATAACACTAAAATGAGGCTATTTATTCATTTCCAGGACGACTTATAATTGTTCATGCGGGTTCGCAAGATGGTTTTGTTCCTGGAGCCTGTCTCATTTTCAAGGCTGGCTGTGCCACTGGTGATTATCACGGTCAAATGAACCAAGAAAATTTCACGAAGTGGCTTACTGAAAAACTATTTCCTAACATTCCTCCTAATAGTATTATAATAATGGATAATGCACCTTACCATTCAGCTTTGGAAGACAAGCCTCCAACTAGATCTTCTCTAAAAAGAGACATCATCACGTGGTTGAGCAAAAAAGGTATAGAGCATGATCCTAATGCTAAAAAAATGGAGCTTTATGAAATAGCTTGTCTACATAGGCCACCATCTGATGAGAAAAATTATAAGATAGATAATTTAATAAGAAGTTTCGGACACACCCCACTTCGAACGCCACCCTATATGTGTCAGTTTAATCCCATAGAGATGATTTGGGCACAAGTAAAATTTTTCATTAGAAGCCATAATACAAGCGGCGAATTTACTATAAAAAAACTAGATGAAATTTCTAATAAGGCCATCGCTTCAGTAAGTGCCAGTGACTGGCAAAAGGTTATTGGACATGTTATAAAAATTGAAGATGAATATTGGGAAAAAGACAGTCTCATTCAAGAAATACAGGAAGAAATAATAATCAACATAGGAGGTGAAAGTGATAGCAATGACAGTTCCTCAGACAGTGATCATGACTCTAATCAGGATTGAAACTATACTAGATTGGCTACCTTTTAGAATTTTTAGATATTCATTTATTATACTATTGGTTTGTGGCTTTTAGTATCTCAGTAGAAAGTCTAATTCTATGTGTTGTTTATGGGTTATTTCATCAAGAAATTACTTTTTGTTTTCCTATATTTTTCTATTCAGTCAGATATTTTTGACTTGTTGTATTCTATTTTAGAAGAATGCATAATTTGTTTTGCTGTTCAATCATAATGCGTACATAGGAATATTACTTGTTGCCTAAAAAATATATTTATTTTGTTCTCAATATTCAGTGTTTGTGTATATTTATTTCTTATAATGTATGTTTGGTATCACGTCATTATGAATCGCAAAAAAATATTAATACTACCAGTTGTAATAAAATATAAATTCAATTAATAATTCAAGTCTCTCCGATCTCCGCCTATGACTCCATATAAAATCGTCTAATGGTAAGGTTTTTTCATCGCATTTCCCCCTTTCGTCCCTAGCAATCTTTGGCTGGTCGATCAATAGTTGACGTCGGCTGTGGTTGCAGCCGCCCAGTGCCACTAGAACCGTACGGCTACCGAATCGCCCTCTAGCTCAGTGGTCGACGTGACCAAATGCACGCTTTCACACTATAGTGAATTTACACCTAAGATAGAATGGATGCGCGATTGCCAAAAGCAAGGACGGCGTACAGGGCCCCATTCAGGGCTACCTCCGAATGATGGACTACCACCAACGTGTTGTAAAATAAAGATGACAGTATTTAACAGAAACAGAAACTTAACAACTTACTCAAATACACTTAACAACAACAACAGCAACAACCAAGCAACGTGAATACGAAAACACGAGCACGCAGTGATACTCGCGACGGACGGTGGCCTGAGTGCAACTCTGCCTGCCATGCCCCTGCCCCGCGCATTATTCCGCCTGGCGACCGCTTGAAATTTAATGGCGAATAGACCAATAAGAGGCGTTGTCCCCACCTGTTACCGAGAGATCACGCGCTAACTGTTATTATTTACATCTCATCTTGAATTTGGATTCAGTTTAGACGGTTTGAGTCCAGTATCAATTCAACTTATCCTTATAAGATTTTACTTCCAAGGCAATTCTTTTTTTTTATTCAATAGACCCAGTGTATGTAAAGTCTAAGTTTTAACTAAACTATCTTCTTTTTTTTGGATTTTCTGATGAGTTGTTTCATTTATACTAAGTGACATATAAATCCGAACACCCAGTTTAAATGGTTTTATTTTAATAAAATTTTGTATAAGTACTTAATGAAGCATAATAAGTAAATGATAAAAATTTCAAAATGATTGCACTGCTTTAAAGCCCTTTGGCCTTTAATAATGTGTGGATGCACCCTGATGTGCTACGCATTCTCCAACGCGCCTAGGCATGCTTCTGATCAGGTGGTCAATGTCCTCCTGTGGTATCTCATTCCAGGCAACCACCAACTCCTCTCGAAGTGCTTCTAGAGTCTGAGGAGGACGTTGCAAATTGAGCAATCTCCTACCCATCATATCCCACACGTGCTCAATTGGGGATAAGTCGGGAGATCTTGGTGACCATGGTAACAATGTGACATCATTATGTTGAAAGAAGTCTATTATGACTCTTTCAACATGTGGTCGGGCATTATCTTATTGGAAAGTTGGATCTGCCAGGGTGTCAAGATAGGGTAAAAGATGGGGTTCTAGAACTTCGTGGATATAACGCTGCGCGTTCATGTTACCTCTGATGAAGATTAAAGGTGACCTGGAACCATAAGCTATAGCACCCCAAACCATAACTCCAACAGTGTGGTGAACATGTCTCTCAACAAAAAACTGTGGATTCCTCCTTTCACCACGTCGCCTTCTAACCCTGGCACGACCATCGTGCATGCCTAAACAAATTCGAGACCCGTCACTAAAGACAATACTGTTCCATTCGTGATCCCAGAGTGACCGTTGTCTGCACCACTCAAGGCGATTACGTCGGTGTTCTCGAGTTAAAGGGAGGACCCAGTGTGGCCGGTATGAAAACAAGCCAAAACTTCTCATTCATCGGTAAACACTTCGCATGCCAATAGGTCTTCCGTGTTCTGCAAACCATTCATTTGCAATGAACCTGGTAGTGGAGAAACGGTCCCTTAAGACCAATAATCTTAGGCGGCGATCTTCACGGTCTGTTGTTCTACGGCGGCGCCCAGTGCCCCTTGCTCTTTGCGTACGGCCTTCTCAAAGCCATGCCTGACAACACCTAACCACAGTGTCTACACTTCTTTGCACTCTAACTGCAATTGCCCGAAAAGAAAGTCCAGCTTCCCGAAGTCCCACTATACGGCCCCTATCAAACTCACTAAGTTGACGAAATCGTACAGGTCTCCGTGCTCTAGGCATCGTAACCGATCGTAAAGGATGTCAAGAACCAAAATCCGCCAACGTTGATTCTTTACTGCGGCTGAAATATTCATTTTTAGAGCGTTAGTGAATTAAAAAAAACAGTATAAAAACCGGAATGTCCGACTGATAAGGCTGAAAATTTTTTCACTTGTTATTTACAGTAAGATAAATACATTCACCAACTTTTATTAAAATAAAACCATTTAAACTGGGTGTTCGGATTTATATGTCACTTAGTATAGTTGCTTCGGCATCTTGGTTTTCCAGCAATTTATAATTCGATTTAAATCACGATTGCAAGTGGAAAAAAATCAATAGATTCAAATAATTTGACTCAAATCATCGCAACCCTGAAAATTGGTGTAATTAACAAATGACCTTACCTGTATCCGATTATCCATTCGAAATTGTCCATCAAACTCCATGCAGTGTAGGCGGTTACATTGACCCCAAATTCTTCTCTAGCTTCTAATATTACCTCGAGATGTTGCTAAAAATTTACAAAGGTACAATCAACAACACGTTTGTTTCCCCATAAAGGAATATACAGTATGTTGCGGATAACACTGAACACTTATTAAACTCACTTTTATGTAGCTGATTCTTTTATCGTCTTCAAGTTCTCCAGTATCGCTGTATCCGTTCTCAGTTATAATGATTTCTGGATTGTTGTATGTTTCTTTGAGATATTTCAGTAGCTTTTTCAAACCCCATGGTGTAACCTAGGAAAATGACATTAGTTAAAGCTCCATTTTCCGTGCGACATATTTGAAAGATTTTATGTCAGGATACAGGCCCATAAGTCCTTTGAGCTGGAAAAAAGGAATAAAACCAAACTAGTTACATTATGAAGAATTATTATATTTTGTTATCATCTTTACTGAATGGGAATTATGTTTTAAAAATCACATCGTCTAAATGCAATCCATTACGATCACAGCACTCATATAAACGACGTCTAAAATTGTCGATGACTGCGCGGCAAGTCAACACTCTAATGCTTGCCATTTCTCTTCGGATATTTTCTTTCAGGACATCAACTGATCACGGAGTGGTGTCGTACACTTTACTCTTCAGGTAGCCCCATAAAAAGAAGTCCATTGGGGTCAAATCTGGACTACGTGGTGGCCAGGAAATGTCTCCTCTTCGAGAAATTACTTTGCTGGGAAAAAGTTGACAGACGACGGGCATAGAAGTGTTGGAGGTGTGGGCAGTTGCTCCGTCCTGTTGAAACCAGGTCTGCGTATTATAGCCTGGAAAATTCTGCAACGCTGGTGTCAAAAACTCTTCTATCATTGCTACATACCGCTCCGAAGTAACAGTTAATGCGCGACTTCTGTCGTCCTCAAAAAAATAAGGGCCTACGATGCCATGCGCTGACATAGCAGCCCAAACTGTAACTTTAGGGCTGTGTAAGGGCTTCTGATGCTTACGCCTTGGATTTTCGGGGCTCCAATAACGGAAATTCTGTTTATTTACATGCCCGTTTAAATGGAAGTGAGCCTCGTCCGAGAACAACACATTATTGAGCGAAGAAAATCGATTCAACATTTCATTCGCAAAGTTTAGTCTCTGAATAGCGTCATTATCTTCTAATTCCTGCACTAACTGAATTTTGTAAGCATGCAGACGTAAATCTTTCCTTAAAATCCGCTGTAAAGATGTTCTGGGTACGTTTAGTGCACTGGAACGCTTACGAGTAGACTGGGTAGGATTTTGACGAACAGACTGTGCCACAATGTTGATGTTTTCTTCAATACGAGTTGTCCTTGGTCGACCCCACCGCTGTTTATCTAACGTCGAACCAGTCTCTTCGAACTTCGCAACCCAGTTCTTAATCGTTTGAGCTGTTGGACACTTTGTAAAATTGTGTAAATTGTGGTATTCTCGATATTTACACGCCGCGCAATGGTTGCCGAATCATTATTTTGATAAAACGCGCGCACACGAAAAGCACGATCCGCTCCAGTGAAACACTCCATGGCGACTGAATTCCCAGACACTGAAGATACTGCCCCCACCTCGCCCGCGCCGCTCACGCTCACCCGTTAAATTTTATCCAAATTTGAAATTTCAAAGGACTTATGGACCACCCTGTACTAAGATGTCCTACAAACTCATACTGGGACCTCACAATGACTTGAGGCTTCAGTCATTTCAAGGTCAACTTTTTCAACTTGGAACACCACTCTCTGACAACGGCTGAAATAGTCTCCGGTCCAACTGATCCTTATGTACTATTATGACCTTGAAGGTAAGGCTCAAGGTCAAATCGAAAGTCCATATTGAAATTTCTGTTAAACGTTGCTAAAAGTCTGATCATGATTTTTTCATCTGTGTTCCTGCTAACGTTCCAGGAATTTTCACTAGTCTCACAAATTTGACCTTTAGAAGTGACCTTGATCTTAGATTTTAGTATATATTCGGGCGAAGAATTCTCCGTTATTTCGACTGTCGGCTTCAAAAAGGTCTTTCCATTTAACAAACTAGAGTTGAGCTTGAAGATGTGGCTTAGTGTCAAATCCATTGTAACCATTGAATTCCTTGTTCGAAGTTACCTAAATACTTAAAACTAGAAGCCGTTTCCGTTACCAAGGAGTAGTTATATCAAGACACTTCCTGAAATGAGTGCATAATCTGGTGACCTTCATAGACTTTGGGCTGCTTCCGCATTGTAGTACGGAAGGCGCCCGCATATTTTTGTCTACGTCATTGCGTACTAATATGATACGAGTCAAATCTCAGGTATACTAAGTGACATATAAATCCGAACACCCAGTTTAAATGGTTTTATTTTAATAAAAGTTGGTGAATGTATTTATCTTACTGTAAATAACAAGTGAAAAAATTTTCAGCCTTATCAGTTGGACATTCCGGTTTTTATACTGCTTTTTTTTAATTCACTAACGCTCTAAAAATAAATATTTCAGCGACAGGAAAGAATCAACGTTGGCGGATTTTGGTTCTTGACATCCTTTACGATCGGTTACGATGCCTAGAGTACGGAGACCTGTACGATTTCGTCAACTTAGTGAGTTTGATAGGGGCCGTATAGTGGGACTTCGGGAAGCTGGACTTTCTTTTCGGGCAATTGCAGTTAGAGTGCAACGAAGTGTAGACACTGTGGTTAGGTGTTGTCAGGCAAGGCTTCGAGAAGGCCGTACGCAAAGAGCAAGGGGCACTGGACGCCGCCGTAGAACAACAGACCGTGAAGATCGCCGCCTAAGATTATTGGCTTTAAGGGACCGTTTTTCCACTACCAGGTCCATTGCAAATGAATGGTTTGCAGAACACGGAAGACCTATTGGCATGCGAAGTGTTTACCGACGAATGAGAAGTTTTGGCTTGTTTTCATACCGGCCACACTGGGTCCTCCCTTTAACTCGAGAACGCCGACGTAATCGCCTTGAGTGGTGCAGACAACGGTCACTCTGGGATCAGGAATGGAACAGTATTGTCTTTAGTGACGAGTCTCGATTTTGTTTAGGCATGCACGATGGTCGTGTCAGGGTTAGAAGGCGACGTGGTGAAAGGAGGAATCCACAGTTTTTTGTTGAAAGACATGTTCATCACACTGTTGGAGTTATGGTTTGGGGTGCTATAGCTTATGGTTCCAGGTCACCTTTAATCTTCATCAGAGGTAACATGAACGCGCAGCGTTATATCCATGAAGTTCTAGAACCCCATCTTTTACCCTATCTTGACACCCTGGGAGGGGCTCAGAGACTTCTTCTCTAGCTTTCCTTGGAGAGATGTCTGTTTCACTGACGCGGATGCGTCGACTGTCTGTTCTTCAATAACCGAAATTATCCACGTCGGAATGGAGGAATACATCCCTCACACAGTGAAAGTTCCTAAACCAGTGCCCAACGGCTGGTTTAACAAATCGTGTGACACTGCTCGCCAGCAGAAGATCAAGGCCCACAGAACCTACTTACAAAACCCCACTGTAGAAAACAGACAAGCCGACGTCGAGTCCAGAAACAAATATAACGAAGCGGTTCGCGATGCCAAAAACCAGCATGATATAAAAGTTAGGCACAGGGTAATGTCGCAGCGCAATGGCAGTCGGTCTTTCTGGACGCTGGCCAAGTAGATTGAAAAGAACTTCTCACACAGTAGCCTTCCACCACTTACGTGTCAGGATGGAACTATTGTATTCGACTCAAAGGCCAAGGCGGAAGTGCTAGCCAAGATCTTTGCTGCCAACTCCACCATGGACGTCCCCACCAACGCCCAAGTGCCGTCAATCCAAAGGGTTCCCCACACTATGCGGGAGGTAACATTCAGGCATAAGACCGTAAGACGAGTGCTCTTGTCGCTCGACATCAACAAAGCTTCTGGTCCGGACTTGATTCCTGCCATTGTACTGAAGAGATGTGCAGCGGAGCTTGCTCCAGTTCTTTCGCGTCTCTTCCAGATATCTTATGAATCCGGCACCTTCCCAGAAAACTGGAAATTTGCTCATGTACAGCCCATCCCAAAAAAAGGATCTAAAACCGACCCTTACAACTGCAGGCCTATAGCTCTGCTTTCTGTTATAAGTAAAGTGATGGAGAGGTGCATAAATCGCGAGCTTCTAGACTACCTCGAACGTCACAGCTTGATTAGCGACAGGCAGTAGGGTTTCCGGCACCAACGATCCACAGGGGACCTTCTAGCTTACGTCACGCAACTGTGGAGTAAACTCATCCAGTCTCATGGTGAGGCTCATGTTGTTGCTCTTGACATCACGAAAGCGTTCGATCAGCTGTGGCACGCTGCCCTCTTAAGCAAACTTCCATCCTATGGCCTCCCAGAAAAGCTTTGCAGATGGGTGGCTGACTTTATCTCTGGCCGCAAGATATCCGTCGTAATTGACGGATTCTCCTCTTCATCCCACAACGTCAACGCGGGTGTTCCCCAGGGATCGGTCTTGGCTCCAACACTGTTTCTCTTACATATCAACGACCTCCTTTCCTGCACGATCAACCCAATCCACAGCTTCGCTGATGACAGCACTCTACATGCAGGAATTCAAAGTGACAAGCCGATATCTGCCGCTGAGCTGGAAAAAAGAAGACTAGCGACGACTTCTTCTCTGACAAGAGACCTGGAGGCTATCACTGCTTGGGGACGCAACAATCTTGTACAGTTCAATGCTTCCAAAACCCAGTACTGTACTTTGACGAACAAAAAGCGTCCTAGCGCTCATACAGTTTTGATGGACGGTCGAGGTCTACCAAAGAGCCATTCATTTCGGCTGGTCGGAGTCCAGATCACCGAGGACCTGATCTGGCACGAACGCATCTCTTCAATAGCTGCAGCTGCTGGGAAAAAGCTAGGCTATTTGTTTAGGGCTAAGAAGTACTTTTCTCCGCATGACCTTCTCACTCTATACAAGGCCCAGATAAGGCCTAGCCTCGAGTATTGCTCACACATTTGGGGTGCTGCCGCCCCGACTACATTGTCCATGCTCGATGCTGTCCAGAGGAGGGCGGTCCGACTGATCGATGACTCTTCTCTAACAGACAGTCTCGGGACTCTTTCGCACCGGCGAGCCGTCGGCGATCTAGCTCTCTTCTATCGCTACACCAACGGGCTTTGCTCCTCAGAGCTCTCTTCCATGATGCCGCCGCGCGATGTGCCTGCCAGACAGACCCGCCTGACTTCGGCGTCCCATCCTAACCGTGTCAAACTTCGTACCTCCAGAACTGGCCGATACGACCGCTCCTTTGTCCCGAGGGTGTCTAGATTGTGGAACAATCTACGGGAGGAAGCTTTTCCCAGTTCTACTAACCTTAGGCAGTTCAAAAATCGTATTAAGAAAATTTCTTTGGGATCATCATAGCAGCCGCGGTGTTCCGGCATTTAGGCTTCTGCCAGCGCGGCTGTTTCGATATAAAAAAAAAAACCCTGGCAGATCCAACTTCCCAACAAGATAATGCCCGACCACATGTTGCAAGAGTCACAATAGACTTCTTTCAACATAATGATCACATTGTTACCATGGCCACCAAGATCTCCCGACTTATCCCCAATTGAGCACGTGTGGGATATGATGGGTAGGAGATTGCTCAATTTGCAACGTCCTCCTCAGACTCTAGAAGCACTTCGAGAGGAGTTGGTGGTTGCCTGGAATGAGATACCACAGGAGGACATTGACCACCTGATCAGAAGCATGCCTAGGCGCGTTGGAGAATGCGTAGCACATCAGGATGCATCCACACATTATTATCATTTACTTATTATGCTTCATTAAGTACTTATACAAAATTATATTAAAATAAAACCATTTAAACTGAGTGTTCGGATTTATATGTCACTTAGTATATTTTGATGCTAAGCAGTAAGGAAGCTCAGCAAATTTTCGTGTATCGACTCAAGATCGGTCGCATTGGGTCCGCTTTTGATCCGCAGTTTATTTTTTTCTAAAAAGTTTCAAAGAAAAAAATCTGAAAAATGACTAATGTTTCGTTAAAAAGCCGATAACTTCTCTATGGCAAAGAGAAAAGAAATTTCGCATAGCTCATTTTGTCATCTCGACGAATACTATATATTACCGAGTTAGTTTTTCCGTTTAGGGCACCCGTTTCGAATCATATTAGTATGCGATGTAATCAAAACTTTGCGATGTGGTCTTGGACTATTACTGATTTACAAAATAAACACAGGTATCTATAAGTCTTTGGTTTGGCGGTTCGCTTATACATGGATCGACGTTCTCCCAAGGATCCACGTGCTTCGCTTATAGGCGAGTCTGCATATACCCAGGCGGTGTTGCCAAACTGACATAAAATGTTCCGAAAACGCTGCATTTATACTGAGCTGAATTGACTTCAGTTCTGTGCATTGTTTTTGGTGTAAACCAGGCTGACTCGGTGACTGGCAACCGTGTCAAACCTCACCATGAATAAATGTCCAAACAAAAGTAGATTTCAACGGAAAATGCTTTCACAAGTGATGGACAATAACGTATGCAGTCCGTGTGGCGTCTCCCACTTTCCCCTGTATCCCCTATAGCCCCATGGGTGTTTAGGCCTTAGACCTTCGTGTTAGTTGGAGTATAAAAAAAGATTTTACCTTGAGCCAAATAGACCCTGCTCCTTCCCATTTAGGACTTTGGAACGAAAGGCAACCCCTATCGTTCAGAATTCCCGAAGGTAACGGTATCGGATTTGGAACAGCCAGAACGCTGGTGTAGAAGTTTACTCCGAAAAAGTCGTACGTTCCTCTAATTCTTGCAATTTCTTCCTCGGTAAATGCTGGCAAACGAGATACTGTTTTACCTTCTTTTCTGCTGCGTTCATTTACTCTTTGTTTGACAATTTCAGGCCAATCTCCTAGGTAGATAGCGTTAGCGTAGATACCAGACTGGGAACAAATAAAACAATAACAAAATTAATAATATTGATACAAGCACTTTTTACCCAAGAGATTCTATTTTGTCGCCTGCAGGCCAAACGACTTTCACGTATGAGGTGTCGTTACATTCGATATATTTTGCAAAAACAAAATGGAGGACATTAATAAAAACATTCAACCTTGAAATTCCTATTTTACGGAATGCAGCTTGGTGAATTTTGACATATGATGTGTTGTTGAGTTTGTCTTTGAAATATTCACGGCCTACACCTTAAACGGCTTGATGGATTTTGACATATTTTATGAGGTAGGTTTCTTCGTCATTCTTTTCAGTTACTGCAGTCTGGTTGCTTGTATTTTTCAAAATCGTACTTGCTTGCGCTCATTTTCTGATTAAATCGAGTGTGTAGATTTGTAATGAGAAGATCGTGATCTAATAAAACCTCATTTCCTAGCAGGCAGTTAATTTTCATCTTAAATGCGACCTCAAAAGACTTTCCAATTTTTTGACGGAAATATTCGTATTCAGCTTCTTAGTTTACCTAGGCGAGTCTCATTCACTTATCCTATAATATTTGTAAGTCCGTTATGAATAAATTATCAACAAAACCTCCTGCGTATTTGTCATCTCTAGGAAAATACGTTTCGACAGTAAATTGTGTCCGTAGATTTTGAACCTGACGTTAACTTTACGGCAGCAGTGACAGATTCAGGGGGGTGTTCTCGGGTCTGGACCTCACACAGAAATGTCAGAGTTGAAAAGAAATTGAACGTGTTACGCGACCCACCTCCTCCCCACCCTTCGTTGTTCTTTTAAGAATCGCCCCCAATACGGACTCCTTCCTGAACTTGATTCTTGAGCATTTTTTTGAGTGGGTAATTTCAGATTCATAATATGGACCACCCAAAATATTTTCTAGATACGTCACTCGACATTAGGAAATTCCAAACGCACATTTTCTACCTAAAATTCCGCCTGGGACACTTTCGTACCTACTCGCTGCGAGCGCCACCTATGAAAGAATGGCTTAACGAGCATGCTGCCTGAGATCTGCAACTCACATTGCGTCAGCATGCTTTGTGGGTTGCAAACTTTCAAGATAATCTATGGAGGATAGAGGTGACGAAGAAAATGTGGTCGAGTATTAAAATGATATCTGAATGTTTGTGTGTATTGATCAGTGACACCTGTGCTCCCAGAGAAAATTATCACTGAATATGTCAATAAAAATCGATATAATGTCGTTTCTTAAGTTACACGATTCTATGTGCCTTTCATGACCGGCACGGATATTACGTATCTTGGAAAGCGACGTTATATCGATTTTCTTGACATTGTACTGTTTTTTCTTGACATTATGTAGGTTTTTGGACAAGAGGTTAACTTAGCACTAGCTGATGGACACTTTTGTGAACTCGTTTTGTAGTTGAACGTGTTGCCTAAACGTCATGAGGCTTCGGTTATAACTGTTTGGCTTTGGTTTGATAAAAAATATGCTTCAGAGATGGCATTACTGGAGGTAACAACAATGTACAGGTATTGGTGCATAGTGAGCTAATAATATGTGTTGTTCATAATTCCATTGGATTCTTGTCTCAAATCGTAATTTATAACTTTGAACATAACCGTCTTCCGAAGGGACAACATATAAATATATACAGGGTGTTTCAGTTTATTGTCGCATAACTTTAAGATTCGATAGATCTTTTAAAATTAATGCATAAAGTCTATATAAACATGGGTCGAAAAATGCGTGGCTTCCGAAATAAAGGGTGTTTAAATTTACTTTCTAAAATAGTTTTTTTTTTTAAATATTTCGAACAATATTTGATGTATAACAGTGAAAATTGGTATACAAGGGTTTTTTGGTACGACAAAACGAACCATGGGCATAGTTTTACTGTAGCCGCTAGAGGGCGTTCTCTACTGTAACTGTAGTGTATTAAAATGACCGAAAAAACTGATTCTTCGCACTTTTCAACATAAAAAAGCTCTCCAGTGAGTTTTCGTTATAGTTATCTGTTTTTGAGATATCTCGATTTTTAAGGTTCCATGCATTTTTAATTATTTATGGAAAAATAATATTTTTTTTACATTTTCGATTTGGGCATTACAAGTAATTAAGATGATCGTTTAGATTGTGTTTTTAAACACAGCAATAATTCCTAACTCCAAATAAACACAAAAAAGAATATTAATTTGTGTAATTTTCCAATATTATGTTTAACAAATTAAATTAATTATTTACAACTAAAATGCTATTGGATAGTTAGGACAAACATACAAAATCTAAAGTAGTTGCTCGAAATGTAAACCCAATTGTTCAATACACAATTCACATCTACGAATGATCGAACGTGGTATAGCATTATTCAAATAAGGCCTTGTTTCATCACATGCATTCCTGATTCTGTCTATTAGCATATCTTTTGTGGTTACACTTTTTCTTTTAGAAATCCCCACACAAAGAAATCTAATGGATTTAGGTCAGGGGATCGTGGAGGCCAGGCGACTGGTCCTCCACAGCCGATCCATCTTTCTGGATAATGTTCGTCCAGCCAGTTTCTAACTATCCTCGAATAATGAACTGGACAACCATCAAGCTGGAACCAGGCCAATCTTCTTAAATCTAACATAACGTCATCCCACATATTTGGATGTTCAGCCTTTAAAAATTCCAAGAAGGTCGCAGCATTTAATCTTGCAGGCAAAAGGTATGGTCCAAATAGTCGATTACGGTAAATACCAACCCACACGTTCACAATAAATGCATGCTGAAAATTTCTTTCCCGAACTGCATGCGGATTTTCATGCGACCAAATATGTTGATTATGAAAATTTACCACACCACGTCTAGTGAAGCATGACGCATCGGTCCATAAAACGTTACTTAAAAACTCCCTATTATTATCAGTTCTATCATGAATCCACTGACAAAATGTGATTCTTCGTTCTCCGTCCCCTGGCTGTAGTCATTGCACAGGTTGCAAATGGTAAGGACGTCTATGGTCATTTCTAAGAACACGGTGAACATGGCTTGCTGAAATTCCCAAGGCACCAGAAACTCTCCTAATACTTGTGGTCGGATCTCTATCAAACTCTCGCAGAATCATACGGGTAAATCTGCGCTGATGAACATTTATGTTTTGATCCATTTGGAGAGTTCCAAAACCATTTTCAATTATTTGGCGATGCACTCTTACAAATACTGGCTGCTTCTGCTGCGTTTCCATTTACAAAGCCATACACAAAATGAATATCCACTAACTCTTCATTGGAGAATAAAAATGGCGTTTTTATAAAACTTACAAAAAAAAAAACAGGTAAAAGAAACTAAATTTCGTGCATTCACAATTGCAAAAAAACGTTTCAGGTGTCAACAGACAACAAAACTAACTGTCAACTAATTGACGTTTAACCTTATTCTGCTTTCAATTTCAAAAATATTTGCAGGCACAGCCTACTTCTAAAAATTATCGAGATACTGACTTTTTAACGTTATTTTATCATAAATAATTAAAAATGCATCGAACCTTAAAAATCGAAATATCTCAAAAACGGCTAACTACAACGAAAATTCACAAGAGAGCTTTTTTATGTTGAAAAGTGCGAAGAGTGAGTTTTTTTATTCAAAAAGCAAAAAATTGCACTAAGAAAAATTTTTCGGTCATTTTAATACACTACAGCTACAGTCGAGAGCGCCATCTAGCGGCTACAGTAAAACTATGCCCATGGTTCGTTTTGTCGTACCAAAAAAGCCTTGTATACCAATTTTCACTGTTATACGTCAAATATTGTTCGAAATATTTAAAAAAATGATTTATTTATTTTAGAAAGTAAATTTAAACACCCTGTATTTCGGAAGCCACGCATTTTTCGACCCATGTTTATATAGACTTTATGCATTAATTTTAAAAGTTCTATCGAATCTTAAAGTTATGCAACAATAAACTGAAACACCCTGTATACTTCATCGGCAACATATTCAGTAATGATTTTCTCTCACAGCAAATATAACTGATTTTGAACACATGCAGACCAATACACACAATCATCCAAATGCGATTTTACTATTATAATAAAATAACTCAGACTCAGAGATGAAAACTATAAACCACTCGGCTTCACAAAACATATGCAACTAACAATGTATACGTGCAGTTGAGCCATTCCACCATAGATGGACGCTCACAACGATCCTAGTGAGCAAACGTGGAATGACTGTTTGCACCCTAAAAACTAAAAAACTACCTAGTCTGCAAGACGATATCTTTTTTGACGTTTTATACGTTTTTTACATAATACATGTGCAGGGGCGATATCGCGATTTCGTCAGTATCCGGAACCACACTAACCTACTCGATTTCGATATCCATTTTGGCGTTCGCCGCCACTAATCGCCACGTCAAGTAGCTGTCATGTATTTCAATAGGTTAGTTTGACTACGAGTGTTGGCGATGTCGCTATGGCGTCCCGTTGAGGGATGGCTCGTATGCTTAAATAAAAAGTCGCTGGGATTTAGAGAAAAACTCGTTTCTTTGATAAATTGGGTGCGTATATTCCAGATCCTCTCGACGGCACATTTTCTACGCCATATGCGTACCGCAAATCACTTTAGAACTTTTTGAGGCTGATATTCGAATTCATCAAAATGTACAGAACGAAAAAAACGTATACAGGGTGTTTCAGTTTATTGTTGCATAACTTTAAGATTCGATAGAACTTTTAAAATTAATGCATAAAGTCTATATAAAGATGGGTCGAAAAATCCGTTGCTTCTGAAATACAGGGTGTTTAAATTTACTTTCTAAAATAGTTTTTTTAAATATTTTAAACAATATTTGATGTATAACAGTGAAAATTGGTATACAAGGGTTTTTTGGTACGACAAAACGAACCATGGGCATAGTTTTACTGTAGCCGCTAGAAGGCGCTCTCTACTGTACCTGTAGTGTATAAAAATGACCGCAATTTTTTTCTTAGTGCAATTTTTTGCTTTTTATGAAAAAACTGATTCTTCGCACTTTTCAACATAAAAAAGCTCTCTTGTGAATTTTCGTTATAGTTAACCGTTTTTGAGATATTTCGATGCATTTTTAATTACTATATAAAAGTCAGTGTCTCGATAATTTTTAGAAGTAGGCTGTGCCTGCAAATATTTTCGAAATTGAAAGCAGAATAAGGTTAAACGTCAATTAGTTGACAGTTAGTTTTGTTGTCTGTTGAAACCTGAAACGTTTTTTTGCAATTGTGAATGCACGAAATTTAGTTTCTTTTACCTGTTTTTTTGTAAGTTTTATAAAAATGCCATTTTTATTCTCCAATCAAGAGTTAGCGGATATTCATTTTGTGTATGGCTTTGTAAATGGAAACGCAGCAGAAGCAGCCAGAGAATACGCACGAAGATTTCCAAACAGACGACATCCAACTCGCTCAGTATTTGTAAGAGTGCATCGCCAAATAATTGAAAATGGTTTTGGAAATCTCCAAAGGGATCAAAACATATATGTTCGTCAGCGCAGATTTACCCGTATGATTCTGCGTGAGTTTGATAGAGATCCGACCACAAGTGTTAGAAGAGTTTCTGGTGCCTTGGGAATTTCAGCAAGCCATGTTCACCGTGTTCTTAGAAATGACCATAGACGTTCTTACCATTTGCAACCTGTGCAAGGACGGAGAACGAAGAATCACATTTTGTCAGTGGATTCTTGATAGAACTGATAATAATAGGGAGTTTTGAAGTAACGTTTTATGGACCGATGAGTCATGCTTCACTAGACGTGGAGAGGTATATTTTCATAATCAACATACATATTTGGTCGCATGTAAATCCGCATGCAGTTCGGGAAAGAAAGTTTCAGCATGAATTTAGTGTGGACGTGTGGATTGGTATCTACCGTAATTGACTATTTGGACTCTACCTTTTGCCTGCAAGGTTAAATGCTGCCACCTTCTTGGAATTTTTAAAGGCTGAACATGCAAATATGTGGGATGATGTTATGTTAGATTTAAGAAGATTGGCCTGGTTCCAGCTTGATGGTTGTCCAGCTCATTATTCGAGAATAGTTAGAAACTGGCTGGACGAAAATTATCCAGAAAGATGGATCGGCCGTGGAGGACCAGTCGCCTGGCCTCCACGATCCCCTGACCTAAATCCATTAGATTTCTTTGTGTGGGGATTTCTAAAAGAAAAAGTGTACCAGACTCCCGTAACCACAAGAGATATGCTAATTGACAGAATCAGGAATGCATGTGATTTAATAAGGCCTTATTTGAGCAATGCTATAACCACGTTCGATCATTCGTACATGTGAATTGTGTATTGAACAATTGGGTTTACATTTCGAGCAACTACTTTAGATTTTGTATGTTTGTCCTAACTATCCAATAGCATTTTAGTTGTAAATAATTAATTTAATTTGCTAAAAATAATATTGGAAAATTAAACAAATTAATATTCTGTTTTTTGTGTTTATTTGGAGTTAGGAATTATTGCTGTTTTTAAAAACACAATCTAAACGATCATCTTAATTACTTGTAATGTCCAAATCGAAAATGTAAATAAAATATTATTTTCCCATAAATAATTAAAAATGCATCGAGCCTTAAAAATCGAAATATCTCAAAAACGGCTAACTATCACGAAAACTCACAGGAGAGCTTTTTTATGTTGAAAAGTGCGAAGAATCAGTTTTTTTATTCAAAAAGCAAAAGATTGCACTCAGAAAAATTGTTCGGTCATTTTAATACACTACAGGTACAGTAGAGAGCGCCCTCTAGCGGCTACAGTAAAACTATGCCCATGGTTCGTTTTGTCGTACCAAAAAACCCTTGTATACCAATTTTCACTGTTATACATTAAATATTGTTCGAAATATTTAAAAAAAAACTATTTTAGAAAGTAAATTTAAACACGATGTATTTCAGAAGCAACGCATTTTTCGACCCATGTTTATATAGACTTTATGCATTAATTTTAAAAGTTCTATCGAATATTAAAGTCATGCAACAATAAACTGAAACACCCTGTATAAAACAAAATATGTATGATCTTGGAAGAAAAAATGTTTCTTGAGAAAATCACTCCGGTTCTGGTGTCAGTTTAGCGCTGGCACTGAGTGCTAGTCCCAGGCGGCTCATTTTTTACACCAAACTTGTCGCCATGCCGTTTCAGAACTTTTTGGTCATATTCAAATTATCAAAATATATCTCTACGTACCATAAACTGTATACCAGATTCGGCCGCTGCAATGAACATAGTATTATTAGCTACCATCGGCTCCCACCAACTGAAATCTACCACTATTGAGATTCTTCCTGTAAAATAGAATGATTTTTCATTTAAACTCGAAGCATATCTAAACGATACCCTTGACTTATAATGGAGCTTATTCAGAACATGCTCTATTTCAAGGGGTATGGACAGTGACATTAAATGTTTGAAATGGTGAGGTTGAATGCGCCCACGAGGTGTTACTAACGTTAAATAAAGGGTGTTTTTTTAGAGGTATAGAACTTTAAATTGCAATAAATCAACGATGGATTATTCGATTGACATGCATCTGTTTTATTCGAGAGATAATCTTGTGGCATTACATTTTAAATATGATTTCTGGCATGTGACTGCCACGACTGGCTAGGATGTAGTCCAATCTGGACGTCCAATTTTCGATGACTTTGTGGCCGTATATCGGCAATAACATGGCGAATGTTGTCTTCCAAATGGTCAAGAGTTTGTGGCTTATCCGCATAGACCAATGACTTTACATAGCCCCACAGAAAATAGTCTAGCGGTGTTAAATCACAAGATCTTGGAGGCCAATTCACAGGTGCAAAACGTGAAATTAGGCGGTCACCAAACGTGTATTTCAATAAATCGATTGTAGTACGAGCTGTGTGACATGTTGCGCAGTCTTGTTGGAACCACAGCTGCTGGACATCATGACTGTTCAATTCAGGAATGAAAAAGTTAGTAATCATGGCTCACCATTTACTGTAACGTTCTGGCCATCATCGTTTTTGAAGAAGTACGGACCAATGATTCCACCAGCCCATAAAGCGCACCAAACAGTCAGTTTTTCTGGATGTAACGGTGTTTCGACATAGACTTGAAGAATAGCTTCACTCCAAATGCGGCAGTTTTGTTTGTTGACGTAGCCATTCAACGAGACGTGCGCTTCATCGCTAAACAAAATTCGCTGATGAAAATCGGGAACAACGTTTTGGGCCCATTCAACGAATCTACGCCTTGCTTGATGATCGTTTGGCTTCAATTCTTGCACGAGTTGGATTTTGTAAGCACGCAAACCAAGATCCTTCCGCAAAATCTTTCATCAAGTGGATGGACACAGATCCAATTCCTGTGTTCCATGACGGCTGGACTCATTCGGGTCTTCCTCAATGTACGCACCGTACGGCGTCTCTCGGGATGCGAGTTATCAATTAGAGTAAACGTGGTGCGAAAACGTTCCATCGAATTAACTGCTCTGATGGACGATTTTGTCTACGATAACCATTATTTTCGAAATAAAACTGCACAATTTGCAAGCGTTGTTGAGGTGTGAGTCTATTCATGATGAATTGCCAAACCAAACTGAGAATAAATCAGTTGACAGCTGTCAAATCGGTCGCCATCTTCAAACGTAATGCCAACTTAAAGTTCTATACCTCGAAAAAAACACCCATTATAAATAAAACGTTAGTAGAGCGTATTTCATCAAAGATGTCCAGCTACGCCGCTGAGTATGCAACTTCACTATCAAACTCCACGGCTCCGAATATTTCAGTCCTTAGGGTGCAACAAATGGAGCAAACGCCTAGAAAGAGAGGAACGCTGTTTTGTCCTCTTTCCATCAGAAGAGGCAGAATCTCTTTTCATCTTTAGGAGGACAAGTGACTGTTCACTCTACGGTGGCCGGTGAGAACCCCCACCAAAAAATAGAGCAACTATTAGCCAGTACGTCCGATGCTTGTCTGGGCCCGCTCAGACCTCTTGGATTGTCTGCGATCATGCATCTCTCGCCGCAGTATTTCCAGCCTAGCCAGATAATCTGCTCTCCCTTCACACAGTACTCCACCATGCCCGAAAACCAAGATCAGGGACACAGAGTTAGATCCTAGATTAGTCTGGATGTAGTAACCCAGCAACGACACCAAATCTGCGTCGAGTACTCCTTTTCTACTCCGCAGCGCGTACGCTATCAGATGTAAAATACATCGGAACTTGTTGAGTCAAGATAGCAGTCCCACTAGCAAGCTTAAGTTGGTTATCTCCAGGGCTGAAACGTTCACAATTCCGATAATGAATTCGAACGATTTCCACCGAATATTTTTGGTACGGCTCAAAATATAACTTCCAACTTATCCAACCTAGGCTCTGGACCCATGCAGGAGCCTCTGGCCCTCCAGCATAGTCAGTTAATTAGCATCCTTGTTACTCAGTACTGCACTGTGTCTGTCATGCTCAACGAATACGTCTGTGGTTTCCCACCTTTCGGTTTTAACCCTTGTACTTTCCCACTGCTTCTAGCAGTACCACTACCAAAGAAACCCACCAACCGCCGCCATCCAAAAATTAGCGAGGAAAGACCTTTTTTTCCCAATAATTTTTTTTGTGTCTGTCAGAGCATATAAGTGGAACTCTATGAGACATCTTAGTAACATCGACTCTTAGGCAACCAATTACACTCCCACACGCCAAGAGTATTCGCCATGTATCGAGAAGTATCGGCCGCCATCTGAAAAATGCGGGAACTTTTCTGGATCCGTCGATTCGAAGATAAATAGACGCACGTAGGGTAGAGGCAGGAGAGAGTCGACAAATGAGTCAACATCGCAGATCACCATAGTTCAGTCGACATGGCTATCAATTTGTAATAAATTAGTTGCAAGTTTTGTAATAAGTTAGTGTCAGAGTAATAAATTAGACTTTAACAATACAATACTCCGCTCGATGCTCTGTTGAAGCTCCTCCAAGTATACCTCCATTAGGATGGCAAATGGAAGGTATTGCAGGTGTCAAGGGCTAAGCTTTCCTGCACGGCTTTGCCTTCCAGGTACATTTCTGCCCCATTGGACTCCGCTTCCTTGGAAAAAGATCCTTCGGGATTTCTTCAAAACACGTTATTCTAATTTTGTTATAGCTTTCGTTTGTCCGACCATATACAACCAACCGTGGACTGCTGTTTCGTGCTATTTGACAATTCCATGGTGTAGGCTTGGCCTCAGGTAGGACAACGATCAAGCAGCTCTATTCAGGATATAAAGTCTATCGAAACAAGGCAGAACAAAGTGACTATGAGAGTTAAAATAGCAAGCTGTCAGTAGCCCAGTTCGTATTTATAGCCACTGTTATTCATACTTTGTAATTTCTATTTTATTCTTTATCGAATTGTTATGACAAATGTGTACCTTTTTGTCGTTGTCTGAACTCCTCATTGTATACATGCCAACTTTCAGCGTGAGCTTTCAAAAGGTAGTAGGTGCATTTGTATTCTAAAATACCATGACCGGACACTCTTGGTGGAAAAATTGCCAGTCCGTACCTGTAATTATATATATATATACAAAGAGAAAATGATCATGCGGAAAAAGGTATATAACAAAAAGTAGAAAAGTAATGAGCAAAATCGGCAAAAAAGAGGAAAGTGGATTCGAGCAGAAAATAGGATAGGTAACCCGAGCGATACGTATTTCTGCTGGTTGGCTTCATCAGGCCCAAAATGAATGCACATATGAAACTACAAAAGTATACGGATACGGGTGTAACCTGAGGAAACGAAGATGGAGAGGGAAAAAAAATGACACCCGAAGTCCACAACAAGAGCCAACCTACACATTGTAGTATAAAATGGCTAGAAGACCTCGAATTTTCAAGGAGACATCTAACCACAACCACGCGACCCTTTATAGCCACTTGCTGTGGTACTTCAAGCCCAAAGGATCTACAAAGAGAAAATGATCATGCGGAGAAAGGTATATAACAAAAAGTAGAAAAATAATGTTTATTATAATTATATAATATTATAATATTATTGAACAAGACCCAGATGAAGATGAAGGAAATCATGAGAATGACGAACTTCCTCTCCGCCAACTAGGTCAACAAATAAGAAGAAACTTGGATATTATAATAAATAGGTTTACTGATTAAAGTGTATTTATAACTTATAATAAGTTTTATTTTCGTGAACATCATAAGTTATAGGTAGCATTTGAGGCTGCATCATTTCTAATTTCGTTTTATAACGCTCTTGTTGTAAAATACTTGTTTGGTACTGCTATAATAGGACTAGACGTTGCAGTTCTTTTGTAGTTAACCCTTTGGTTTCCCCAGTTTCGAATTTCTCTGTTGCTAATTTTCTTTTTGGTGGCAATGTCTTCTGATTTGCTGGCGCTGTAATACTAATTGTTTGTTCACTGCGCTCGGCATATAGTTCACTTCCTTCTTCTTGAACACTACCAACCTGAATGGCACCTAAAACTTTCCCAATTCTAGGATTACAGTCACCTTCCATAGCTTTCAGCAACTTTCTTTCCCAATCTAACAATTTAACCGCTTTACCAGTTTTTTTAGATCTGTTTTTTTCTTCAATCTTGATTTCATGTTGATGATTTTTTTTAATAAGCCTTTAGTATCTTATGATTTACCGAATGTTGATTCGCATTTTTTCAACATCTTCTTCAAGGCATCGTCCTTTCTGATTTTTATTTTTGGAACTTATGGTCGTTGCCATTATTTTCTATAGTTTCCTAATCACTTGAGGATGACATGCTTATTAATTTGATAAAAAACTGTATCCAGTAAAAATACCCTAAGGTCTGTGTAAGCTCTGGAGTACAACTGTCAGTGTTGCTGAGTGAACGAACTCCCACGTCAACTACAAGCTGGAACAAGTCACGACATGTCGCTCAAGATACAAATACCCGTCAACCTTTTACTTCTTCTTGGAGGATATCCTCGCTAGTATAAGGTAATCATTATGAATATGAAAACAAGGATATGCTTATACCTTTTTCTCCGAAGCAACACCTTATGCTTCCGAGGATATGCTTCTCTTTTATGAATACGGCTCAATGTCACTTTTAAGAATCGTAATTCCCTGCGAGATGGAGAATAAAAAAGAGATAGTTTTGTTTAAAACAGAACGTAATATTTCAATATGGAATGAGTCTTACCCCATCATACAAGTCTGCTTCGGTTCATTGAATGTGATCCATGTCTTAACGTCATCACCGAAGAGCTGGAAACACAGCCTAGCATAATCCCTGAACCATTCGACGATTTTCTCATTGAGGAACCCACCTCGATCTTGAAGAGTTTGTGGCAGGTCCCAGTGGAACAGAGTTACCATGGGCTCGATGTTGTTCTTTTTCAGGTTTTTGATCAGGTTCCTGTAGTATTCGACGCCTTTTTGGTTCACATAGTCTGTTGTACCTAGATGATAATGTTGATGTATCAAGAAATTTGCTTCAGAACTTCTTAGGCTGAGACGATAAAGATACCTACATTCTCTACAGGAAGGTCACACTTCAGCCATTATACTGAGTGTGACAGAAAAGTAGTTATCAAAGTTTTTTTTTTCAAACATAATATTATTCCCGAAGCTAGAGACGGATGAAGACTTTGTTCCCAGTCTTGATCACACTCATTTGAATGTTTTTCCCAAATGACGTCCTTAAAGGGCATTTTTCAGGGACTGTTCATATTTAACTGGTTACACGACGGTCTGATCTCATAAAAACGACGTGACGGGAATTTCCAGAGTCGCTGAGACTTTGAAAAATCAGCCCTCTAAACGGAATACAAACTCACCAGAGTTCGGGAGCGAAAATCCTATTTTAGTGAAAATCATATATCATCATTTGAAAACCTCCCACCACGGATATATCGAAAACCACTGATTGAAAGAAAAAACGCCGAGACACGGCAACAGATTTGTCAACTTTTTACCCAAAAACTACTTCACCTCCTTCCATCCTCTGCCCCCCAGGGCCATCCCCTGAACAATTTTGAATGACAAGGCGTATCGAGTACTCGTAATAGCTTGTTTGAGAAACAGTTAACACAATAGATCTTAAATGGCCCCATAGAAAAAGTATAATGGCGTCAAATCAGGAGATCTAGCAGGTCATTGTATAGGCCATCTTCGCACTATACATTTATGCAAATCCAACAGATGAAACAAAACAAAATTATTTGTACTATAAAACTAAACTCTGCCAATTGATCAACATTTCTGAACAAAAATATTACACAGAAAAACTACAATACAACAAATCTGACTAAAATGCTAGGGAATACCATAAATCAGATCTGTAATTCATCCAAACCTGAAACAAAAATTGAAGAAATAAACGTCCATAATATACTAAGTGACATATAAATCCGAACACCCAGTTTAAATGGATTTATTTTAATAAAATTTTGTATAAGTACTTAATGAAGCATAATAAGTAAATGATGAAAATTTCAAAATGATTGCACTGTTTTAAAGCCCTTTGACCTTTAATAATGTGTGGATGCACCCTGATGTGCTACGCATTCTCCAACGCGCCTAGGCATGCTTCTGATCAGGTGGTCAATGTCCTCCTGTGGTATCTCATTCCAGGCAACCACCAACTCCTCTCGAAGTGCTTCTAGAGTCTGAGGAGGACGTTGCAAATTGAGCAATCTCCTACCCATCATCTCCCACACGTGCTCAATTGGGGATAAGTCGGGAGATCTTGGTGGCCATGGTAACAATGTGACATCATTATGTTGAAAGAAGTCTATTGTGACTCTTGCAACATGTGGCCGGGCATTATCTTGTTGGAAAGTTGGATCTGCCAGGGTGTCAAGAAAGGGTAAAAGATGGGGTTCTAGAACTTCGTGGATATAACGCTGCGCGTTCATGTTACCTCTGATGAAGATTCAAGGTGACCTGGAACCATAAGCTATAGCACCCCAAACCATAACTCCAACAGTGTGATGAACATGTCTTTCAACAAAAAACTGTGGATTCCTCCTTTCACCACGTCGCCTCTTAACCCTGGCACGACCATCGTGCATGCCTAAACAAAATCGAGACTCGTCACTAAAGACAATATCCTGATCCCAGAGTGACCGTTGTCTGCACCACTCAAGGCGATTACGTCAGTGTTCTCGAGTTAAAGGGAGGACCCAGTGTGGCCGGTATGAAAACAAGCCAAAACTTCTCATTCGTCGGTAAACACTTCGCATGCCAATAGGTCTTCAGTGTTCTGCAAACCATTCATTTGCAATGGACCTGGTAGTGGAGAAACGGTCCCTTAAGGCCAATTATCTTAAGCGGCGATCTTCACGGTCTGTTGTTCTACGGCGGCGTCCAGTGCCCCTTGCTCTTTGCGTACGGCCTTCTCGAAGCCATGCCTGACAACACCTAACCACAGTGTCTACACTTCTTTGCACTCTAACTGCAAACTCACTAAGTTGACGAAATCGTACAGGTCTCCGTACTCTAGGCATCGTAACCGATCGTAAAGGATGTCAAGAACCAAAATCCGCCAACGTTGATTCTTTACTGCGGCTGAAATATTCATTTTTAGAGCGTTAGTGAATTTAAAAAAAAAGCAGTATAAAAACCGGAATGTCCAACTGATAAGGCTGAAAATTTTTTCACTTGTTATTTACAGTAAGATAAATATTTTCACCAACTTTTATTAAAATAAAACCATTTAAACTGGGTGTTCGGATTTATATGTCACTTAGTATACAACACTTAACACAAGTAAAGATATTGTGGTGCATTCAATAATTACTTTATAGAAGTAGGGAAAAATTAGCAATGAAAATAAATAAACCTAACACAAATATTCCGCCTAGAAAAATACAACAATCGATTTTCTTAGAATCTGGGTCTTAAAATGAAATAAAAAAATGCCATACACAGTTTGAAAAATAAAAAAAGCCCAGGTCTTGCTGGTATACGATCAGAAATGTTAAATTGAATTTCATCCGAAATTAGTAAGCCCTTGACGTACATAGCAAACTTGATAATTGAATAGGGAGAATTTCCAGATGATTATAAAGTAGGAGTAGTAAATCCCATCCACAAATCCGGTGAAAAAACAGATACTAACAATAATTAGGCCTGTAACTCTGATATCCAGCTCTGCAAAAATTATTGAGAAAATTATTATTATTACCATTTCTAAACTTTTTTGATAAACATAATCTGATTAACGAAAAACAATTTGGATTCCAGGAAAACAAGTCTACCCAAGTCGCAATTTCTTTTTTGACATCAAAATTATACAAATTACTGGACCAAAGTGAATATACCCTGTGTGTGTTTTTACATCTAGCAAGGCTTATAACCTCATGAAAAGTTACCGTTCCAACAGAACACAGTGCGTACAAATAAATAATTCCTTAAGCACAAAAAAATTGATAACGTATGGTGTCCCACAAGAGACAGTGTTAGGTCCTTGATTATTTACACTTTACACTGATAGCCTGTCGAGCTTAAAATCTGAAGGGACAACCATATGTTCTGCAGACGATTCACAAATCACAGAAACAAATTACCATCCTTTGTATCTATACAGGTTAACTGTGATAATATTAATACTCAAATAAATTTGAAAAACAAAATAAAATATTTAGGTATATATTTAGACTCACATTTAAAGTGGAATATACATATTGATCATGTAATAACTAATTTGAGACCATTATTGTTTAAATTCAAATATAAAAACAAATATTTGGTTAAAAAAACAATGAAAATTTTGTATCATGCTGTGATCGAAAGTCGTATAAGTTTCGCAATATTAGGATGGGGTGAAGCACTTGATAACCAAATTAATAAATTAGAAAGTATCCAAAAACAATTTTTAAAAATAATCTTTGACAAACAACTTTTATACACATCTGATCTGTTGTATTCTGAAGCAAAACTATTAGATCCTAGGCAACAATTTTTTTATAAAATTATAATTATCAGTTTCACCATAGAAATAATCTTGTTCCGTTAGATCACTTATATCAAACTAGAAACAAAATCAACAACATTAAGCAAACACCTTCCACCTCAAAAAGTATAGGTCAAAGATGTCATACTTACCTTTCCAGTGATTATATAACATATTAACAAATTATATAAGAAATATTTCAAATAAAACAAAATTCAAAATTGAAACCAAAAAATTTATAATTGAAAAAATCGACATCAAATTGCAAACATGATAGGTATGAAAGAAACTTAAAATTAATGTAGTAGTAAAAATCCTCCAACGTTCATATACTCGTATATGTGTATGTGTATATACTAAGTGACATATAAATCCGAACACCCAGTTTAAATGGTTTTATTTTAATAAAATTTTGTATAAGTACTTAATGAAGCATAATAAGTAAATGATAAAAATTTCAAAATGATTGCACTGCTTTAAAGCCCTTTGACCTTTAATAATGTGTGGATGCACGCGCCTAGGCATGCTTCTGATCAGGTGGTCAATGTCCTCCTGTGGTATCTCATTCCAGGCAACCACCAACTCCTCTCGAAGTGCTTCTAGACTCTGAGGAGGACGTTGCAAATTGAGCAATCTCCTACCCATCATATCCCACACGTGCTCAATTGGGGATAAGTCGGGAGATCTTGGTGGCCATGGTAACAATGTGACATCATTATGTTGAAAGAAGTCTATTGTGACTCTTGCAACATGTGGTCGGGCATTATCTTGTTGGAAAGTTGGATCTGCCAGGGTGTCAAGATAGGGTAAACGATGGGGTTCTAGAACCTCGTGGATATAACGCTGCGCGTTCATGTTACCTCTGATGAAGATTAAAGGTGACCTGGAACCATAAGCTATGGCACCCCAAACCATAACTCCAACAGTGTGATGAACATGTCTTTCAACAAAAAACTGTGGATTCCTCCTTTCACCACGTCGCCTTCTAACCCTGGCACGACCATCGTGCATGCCTAAACAAAATCGAGACTCGTCACTAAAGACAATACTGTTCCATTCCTGATCCCAGAGTGACCGTTGTCTGCACCACTCAAGGCGATTACGTCGGTGTTCTCGAGTTAAAGGGAGGACCCAGTGTGGCCGGTATGAAAACAAGCCAAAACTTCTCATTCGTCGGTAAACACTTCGCATGCCAATAGGTCTTCCGTGTTCTGCAAACCATTCATTAGCAATGGACCTGGTAGTGGAGAAACGGTCCCTTAAGGCCAATAATCTTAGGCGGCTATCTTCACGGTCTGTTGTTCTACGGCGGCGTCCAGTGCCTCTTGCTCTTTGCGTACGGCCTTCTCGAAGCCATGCCTGACAACACCTAACCACAGTGTCTACACTTCTTTGCACTCTAACTGCAATTGCCCGAAAAGAAAGTCCAGCTTCCCGAAGTCCCACTATACGGCTCCTATCAAACTCACTAAGTTGACGAAATCGTACAGGTCTCCGTACTCTAAGCATCGTAACCGATCGTAAAGGATGTCAAGAACCAAAATCCGCCAACGTTGATTCTTTACTGTGGCTGAAATATTCATTTTTAGAGCGTTAGTGAATTAAAAAAAAAGCAGTATAAAAACCGGAATGTCCAACTGATAAGGCTGAAAATTTTTTCACTTGTTATTTACAGTAAGATAAATACATTCACCAACTTTTATTAAAATAAAACCATTTAAACTGGGTGTTCGGATTTATATGTCACTTAGTATATATGTATGTATAGGTGTATGTGTGTGTATGTATATTTGTGTATGTACATCTATTGTATGTGTTTATTTATGTGAATATATATATATATATATATTTTTTTTTTTCTAGAATAATTTTGCACATTACTAGATGAGATATTTGAATAAAATATTTAGAGTAAATATGTAAAACAAAATTTTAATATTATTATTCCACACCTTGTCCTTAGAATATCTGAATATAATACAGAGAATTTACATTCGTTCCGAGAATAAAATGCATCTTCATCAATTCTGAAAAACATACGTCTACATGCGGTTCAAGTAGCATATTTACCTTTACTTCAATATGAACAATCATTTGCAGAATTGTTTATTTTTACATCACTTACTAAGATAGCCAAATGAGGTACTTCATGCTAAGTTCAAGGTTAACCTCACATCACAACACATGAATAATTTCAATATATTTTCAAATATAATTATAAATTGAAAATATGGAATTATAGGTTCAGTGACTCCAGATAGCGTTTTCAGACATTAAACGGGCTATAACTGGAAAATATCCACCTTCAGAGAAAAGTGATGGAAAGCTTTTTTGTTCATAATGATCCAAAAAAAACAAACAAAAAATTCGAGCATAAAATTATTTTATTTAAAAAATTGTTTGAACAAATTTAACTTGATTTGGTTGTCAAGTATCTGAATCAAAGTTGAAACCTTGCTCTATAAGATCTTGAAGACTATTTTGAGATTCAACCTCGTTTTTCAGGTCAAAATTAGAGAACTTCTTCCAACAAAAACTGTTAAAAGGAATTGAGATGACCACCTCGATTGAAGGATTTAAAGGCATTTAATTTTTCCATTTGGGGACTTTTATTGACGCGCTCTTGATCTGATTTAATCTAGATTTTCTGAGATTCGCTACTAAATATCTACAAACTTTAGCAAAAGGGTTGTTACGTTTTTTACAGCAAAATGATTGGCTACCTGATTTTTGACCAGGTTAATTCATAAAATTTCCAATTCTCAGAATCATGTTCAGCTGTCGTTTTTTTTTATAAAACTTATTCTAGATCACAATTTGAAGACAGTAACTCCATACTTTAGAAAGTTGCTGAACCTTTTCTTACCATAGGGGAGTATCCTCGGCCATGACAAAGAAAATCTATAGTAATCAACTCCCAACGTCTTTATCATTTCTACGTCTTCATCTGATTTGTGATAGGAGTCACAAGCTATATCAGCATTACTTTTATTGTAAATCCTTCCCGGATTTTCGTGGACGTAGCGGTCCCATATACTTTCTGATTTACCATCGTCGTTCCAACCCCCTTCAAAAATAAATAATAATAATGATAAAATAATATGGATACAGTGATGATAGCAGTAGTAAGTTCTTCATAACGTGTTGCTTATTCTTTTACTTTATTCATTTTCTTTGTTTTCTCACATCTTTCCTATGGTCTTGTGCCAATATAGGGAGTATCCCACTTCTGAGTCCACGTTTGACAATCCAACCAATCTTATCCAAAATGAACATCCAATTATTGTGTATATTCGCCCATGTCTAATCATATTGGACGATAATTCTCCTGGCTTGTGAAATAATTGTAAAGTCTGGTTTTATTGTTGCAAGTTGTTCAAGGTGGTATTCAAAACATGGACGCATAAAATGGGTACACCAATTTTTATGGAAAAACTTTTTATTCGACAACAAAGAATGAGAAGGCGTGTTTTTTGGGATTCAATCAAAAGTGTTGGCAGGACCTAAAAAATTTCTCAAAGAAGGTTTTTAGGTTTCTATGAGATCCCACTAATAGAAAAAAAGTTAGGGCCGAAAACTGAGGAAACATGCAGGTTCTGGCACTTGTTGCTAATGCGACGATAATTTCACACAGCTACTTGAAATTTTTCAAATCTGAAGGTTTCCTACTTCTAAATAACCACAACATAAGTGGAGTCGATTGGTCAAGTAGTTTTTGAGAATTTCTAATTATTTATCCCAAAACACCTGTCTTCCGGTCATCCATTAAGGACTTGACAACTTTCTTTTTAAATAAAACGCAAACCATTTGAGATATCCGGAAAATTTTATTATTTATTTATTTATATACAGTTTGGGGTGTTAACAGGTAAACCCAACACACACCCTCAGTGAACTGAAACTAAACTTACATAAAATATCGTATACATATAAATATATTACATTATTGAATACTTCAATATTAATATTTTTTTTTATCTTCCGATATTGTTGTAACAACATAAACTGAGTGAGTAGTTCTAATTATAAGCAATAAACTATTAATTTAACTTTTTTAATAAAAGGAGTATACATAATTTAACATTTACTTACGTTTAATTAAAACTGAAATAAAAATTAAATTGAAATTATACCAGAAATGATATTGGAGGTGATAACTTGAGTTATGTAAAAAAATAAAACATTTCTATTTTAGTCTTCCATAGAGCTGTAATACTCATACTTTAAAGCCTTTTTCAGGAAGGTCAAGCTAATGTTCAATAAATCTATATTACAGAAATTATTATGATTTTTTTGAGCCCTGACCAAAGGGGAATTAAGACCAAGATTAGTTCTACGGAACGGTATTCTAAACAGATGATAGGTTCTAAACGTTCTATCAGGAGTATTAAAGTTCAAGTTTGCCAAAAGATCCGGACAGTCAGTGAAGCCATTCAACAATTTATGAACACAGCAAATGTCAGAAATCGTTCTTCTATCTTTTAAGGAAATCATATTGAATTGTTTCATAATTTGCGTATAATGATGATCTGTAACAGGTTGGTGAGTTTTATGTGCTAACATCTTCAAAAATTTGTGTTGAATTCTTTCTATCCTGGATATATGTACATTGTAAGACGGATTCCATATTACTGATGCAAACTTCAATTTGTAGTGTATATAAGCGTAGTACAATGAAAGAAGCGTTTTTGGGTTCGTAAATTCCTGTTTATGAACCCTAGTGTTCTATTTGCATCTTTCACGATGTGCTCTACGTGAGTGATGAATGAGAGTTTCTCATTAATGTATACCCCTAGGTCTTTTACTACATAAAGCTTTTCCAGTTCTGCCGTCCCTATCTTATATCTGAAATCTATAGTGTTCGCTATGTTTCTAGTAAGCCTCATGTAATGACATTTTGTTAAATTCAGGAAGATACTGTTTTCAGTGCAATACTTTTGCAGAGATTCCAAATCGATTAGAAGTTTTACACCGTCATTTACATTTCTAACAATAGTAAATATCTTTAGATCATCAGCATATAACAAATATTTACTGAAATGAAAAACAGAAGTAAGGTTGTTCATCCTAAGTGACTACCTTGTGGTACGCCTGAAGTTACTAAGAATGTCTCCGAACGATACCATTGATAGTCACCACTTGTTTACGATTACTTATATACGATGCTAGCCACTGCCATAATGGACCATCTACGCCCACCTCAGCAAGTCTCTTCATCAAGATAGAATGATCAATCTTGTCGAAAGCCTTACTGAAGTCGGTATAAATAACATCCACCTGCAGTTTCTCAGCTATTGCGTGAGAGGCATATTCTATAAAACTCATCAAATTCGTCTCTACAGATCGTTTAGGGAAAAATCCATGCTGGTGTTTCGTAATGATATTTTTTGTAATGTTTAAGATAGCATCATAAATCAGCTTTTCAAAAATGTTTGAGAAAATACAAAGTTTAGTGATAGGTCGATAATTTTCCACAAGATGTCTATCGCCTCCTTTATGAATAGGCAATATTTCACCTTCTTTCCATCTCGTTGGAAAGACTCTTTGAGTTAATGATAGTTTGAAAATTAGGTGAAGTGGTAAACATAAGCTAGCGGAACAGTTTTTTATAAATACAGGAGGTATGCCGTCAGGGCCTACTGATTTTTTAATTTCTAAGGACACTATTTGTTGATAGATTTTTTCAATGGATATTAAGGTAACATCAAAGGACTAGCATCCTTGTTTAAATAAAAATGTTTAGATTTAACATATACACTTGCAAAGAAATCAGCAAAGGCATTACACACCCCACTTCCGGTTTTAACTTCATAGTTTGAATGATTTATAGAACTAGGTATAGAGACATGACATTTTTTCTTACTTGAAACGTATTTCCAAAAGTGTCGGAATGGATTGAAGTATACTCAAAACATTTATGAATGGAATTCGATCTCGTTCATAAGTCCACAGTGGACACGTTCGCAGCGATCGATTCATTGAACCTAATTTTCAATTACTCGGCCACGCATTTCGTCAGAAACAGTCGCGGATCATCTAAAAGATCGAGCTAGAAATTCAGCGCTTCCCAAGGATATAACAGCATTTCTTTCAAAATATAGTACAGTGCCTGAGACTGAGGTAGCAGTTACCAGAAATTCCAATGGACAGTGCCATGTTTGCAGCTCTAAAAAGAACAACAGAACCACAGTTACTTGTAATTTATGTCAACATTTTGTATGCACGGTACACATCACTAATACCTGTCAAAATTGTATGCTTACTGAAGTAGAACATAAAGAAGATTAGGAAGAAATAATGGATTATTTTGATTTTGTTAGAAATAATGTTTGTTTTGGTAGAGTTGACTTTTAATTACATTTTATTTTTGTAATATTTTAAAATAAAGGATTCCATATATTTTTTTAGAACTACGATATTTTAAAACTGTATTATAAAATACATTTGTATGTTTTGATATTAATCTGGGCGTTTTTATACTTGCAGCATGTAGTGCCGCAGCGCGCCCGGTCTTGTGATTTTTCAAAGCGCGTCTGCCGGAGTGTTAAATATGGAGAAATAAATGCTTTCTCACATCACTTGTACTTTTATTATATGTTATCTGGGAGAGAGACCTATACTTTGAAGTTGAGTCATTAAGTTTCAGATAATAATGGTAGAAGGAAGATAAACCAAAATATATGTGTAAAAATTAAAAAAAAGTAAAAAAAATGTTACCTTATTTTATAAATTATCCTCCCGACAAGTATTTCAGTGCGGACCTGTGCGCCCAAAAGCATGTCTCAAAAACTGTTCGAAATGATTTCCGTTTTGTTCGACGCAGGGCTGGGCTTGTTCCTTGTTGCCAAACACGAGCACATAATATTATTATTGAGACCGGGCGGTACTCGAAACTTCTAAAGGGCTATAACTTTGTTACTTTAATTTTACCAGAAAAATGTTATAGGAAAAAACATTTCTTTTGATCAGATCTACTCACTGTTAAAATAAATGACTCAACTTCGAAGTCACCCTACCCTGTATAATGTCTCTATTCACCTTTCGCTATTGAAAGCTTGTTCAATGCACTACGAGCTAATTAATTACTTCAACTTAGTGGTTAAACACAATGTGCAGATAACAATACGATTAAAAGCAGCATTATAGTGCCCACAAAAACTGGTGTACCCATTTTATGCGACCATGTTTTAAATAAAACCAGACTTTACAATTATTTCGGCGAAATTTGCTAATATGATTAGACCTCCTGATCCTGTTGGGAAGCCTCTTATTTGGGTAATATCTAGTATCAGGTTTTCTTTACTTTACTTGTAATGTCACGTATTCCTGTTAAGGGGTGATATATTAGGTCAAAAGCAACCGATTTTGTCCTATAATGTCCTATCCAGAAGTTAACCGTTTTTGAGTTATTTGAATTTTTTTTTTTTATTTTTTTACCCCGATTTCAGACGGTTATATTTTAAGTACAAAAAAACTACATTTTTGATTTTGAGTTTTTTGTTATCGTCGCATAGCGGACATTCCAATAGTTCATAATAAGTAATAAAATGTTGAAAACATACAAAAGTTTCAAAATTACGCTTTTGAAATGTATGATTTTCTTATTTTTTTACTAACTTATTCGATAAAAAATGCAATTTTCTGTAAAAAAACTCCTAGTAATGAAATGTGCAAATTATGTAAATAATATCTCTATCTAACAAGCTTTCATTTGAGGTATAAAAGTTACAACTAACTCAAGTACAAAGACATAAAATTAAAAAAAGGTGAGTAAAGTTGTACGAACGATAATTACGTAAGATAAATAAAATGCTTTTATTTTAATTACACTTTTATTTAATTACATTTCCTTTAGTATTTTACAGATTCTGCTCAAATTGTAATCCCCTGTTACGAATACACGCCCGCATTCTTTTACGTAATTCACTTTTGGTAACTCTAGCTGTTAAGCGGCTTTTTATTTGGTCAGCTGCACTGATTATCCTTGTCATTAATTCATCGCGCGTTGCTACGGGCGAAACCTCGTACACCAGGCTTTTCATAATCTTCCCACACATAGTAATCCATCGGTGTGAGATCTGGGCTTCTTGCTGGCCAGGCAATGGGCCCGCCTCTGCCAATCGATTGATTTGGAAATTTAGAGTCTAAATACGCCCGTACTAATCTACTGTAGTGTGCGGGACAGCCGTCGTGCTGGAACCGCATATTTTGTCTCGCCAATGGGACGTCTTCCATTAATGGAAACAAGTGATTTTTCAAGAACTCTTCATACACTTCTCCATTTAAATTGGCGGGCAGAAAATGAGGTCCAATTAAATATCCATCAATGATGCCCATCCACACATTGACTGAAAACCGGCTCTGAGACCCCGTCGGTCTTATTTTTCGGGGGTTTAAAACTCCTTTATCAGCCCAGTAATAAGGCATTATGGTAGTTAGTGATCCCGTCCTTATCAAACTGCGATTCATCGGTCTACAGAATTTTCTTAAAATAGTCTGGATCTTTTTTATCTGCTTGTAACATGTACCTGCAGATATCTAATCGTCTTGCAGGATCGCCCTCTTCAATCACATGCACAGGCGTGTAGTGATATGGGTATAATCTTGCAGTATGCACAGTAAACCATACTTTGTATTGTGATATACCCAACTGAGCAGCCACAATGCGCGTAGACGTAGTAGGCTCTTCCTGAAACACACGAAGGATTTCCTCTTCATCTTCAGGAGGATAGACTCGGGGTCGACCAGCATCACTATGTTGCCTTTGAACACGTCCGGTTTGGCGGATGCGCCGATACACAGAGTCAAACACAGTAACATGAGGTGTTCGGCGATTCGGGAAACGTTGCCGATATTCACGGCGGGCAGCTGCAGAATCGCCGTTACAAAGTTCATAACAGAACATTATGTCTGCGTATTCTTCATTTGTAAAAGTTTGCTCGTGCTCGCTATGGCGAGGTCCTGGCGGATCTTCTGCGTCTGCCCTGATGATAAAGAAGTCACTCGAAAAGAACTGGGAAACTGGAAAATAATAATCGTGCGTAAAACGTGTGCGCGTACCCAGTAGTTGATACCAACTAAACCTAATTCTCACTCGACGTGCGGCGATGGCGTAACTACAATGATGAATAATAACAGCTCTCTCTCTCTCTCTCTCACTCTCACTCCTCCACTAAGTCAGCTCTTCTCGCTCGCTTCCTCGTCGAGCCGATGCCATAAAACAATCATGGCATGCTAGTCCTTTGAGGACAGTAACGACTTGTTCAAACAGGTAATATTGATCGACCAGCCAAAGATTGCTAGGGACGAAAGGGGGAAATGCGATGAAAAAACCTTACCATTAGACGATTTTATATGGAGTCATAGGCGGAGATCGGAGAGACTTGAATTATTAATTGAATTTATATTTTATTACAACTGGTAGTATTAATATTTTTTTGCGATTCATAATGACGTGATACCAAACATACATTATAAGAAATAAATATACACAAACACTGAATATTGAGAACAAAATAAATATATTTTTTAGGCAACAAGTAATATTCCTATGTACGCATTATGATTGAACAGCAAAACAAATTATGCATTCTTCTAAAATAGAATACAACAAGTCAAAAATATCTGACTGAATAGAAAAATATAGGAAAACAAAAAGTAATTTCTTGATGAAATAACCCATAAACAACACATAGAATTAGACTTTCTACTGAGATACTAAAAGCCACAAACCAATAGTATAATAAATGAATATCTAAAAATTCTAAAAGGTAGCCAATCTAGTATAGTTTCAATCCTGATTAGAGTCATGATCACTGTCTGAGGAACTGTCATTGCTATCACTTTCACCTCCTATGTTGATTATTATTTCTTCCTGTATTTCTTGAATGAGACTGTCTTTTTCCCAATATTCATCTTCAATTTTTATAACATGTCCAATAACCTTTTGCCAGTCACTGGCACTTACTGAAGCGATGGCCTTATTAGAAATTTCATCTAGTTTTTTTATAGTAAATTCGCCGCTTGTATTATGGCTTCTAATGAAAAATTTTACTTGTGCCCAAATCATCTCTATGGGATTAAACTGACACATATAGGGTGGCGTTCGAAGTGGGGTGTGTCCGAAACTTCTTATTAAATTATCTATCTTATAATTTTTCTCATCAGATGGTGGCCTATGTAGACAAGCTATTTCATAAAGCTCCATTTTTTTAGCATTAGGATCATGCTCTATACCTTTTTTGCTCAACCACGTGATGATGTCTCTTTTTAGAGAAGATCTAGTTGGAGGCTTGTCTTCCAAAGCTGAATGGTAAGGTGCATTATCCATTATTATAATACTATTAGGAGGAATGTTAGGAAATAGTTTTTCAGTAAGCCACTTCGTGAAATTTTCTTGGTTCATTTGACCGTGATAATCACCAGTGGCACAGCCAGCCTTGAAAATGAGACAGGCTCCAGGAACAAAACCATCTTGCGAACCCGCATGAACAATTATAAGTCGTCCTGGAAATGAATAAATAGCCTCATTTTAGTGTTATTTTAAGTTTGCCAACACCTTTTTGAATCACTATGTATAAAAAACATATTTTTGAGAAAAAAATACTTGCAAGGGATTATGTATTCAATTAGACAAATTAAATGAGCACTTATTAAGAATATTCCAAAATTGAGAAAAATGTATAATAAGCAAAATCGAGGTGAAAGAAACTTTATTACCTGTAGAACTTATATTGCTCAGGACACCCATAATTTCTTCGCTTTGCCAGCATTTCTTGAAAGTGAGGTCATTATCAACCCAAGTTTCGTCCAAATAAATAATATGCCTTCCTTCTTCCCGGAACTTTTTAATAGACCTAAGATACTTGTATCGCCAATGTAAAATACTGGGTCTTTCCATTAGTAATTTCCTTTTGTTGTGGCATTTACGCCAGTAAAATCCTTTTGCTTTTAAAAGCAGCCTCAACGATTCTTTACCAAATGGAAATTCCATTTCTTCCTTCAGTTTGATTAGAAGTTTACTACAAGTAGGTACCACTTTAAAATCACAGTAAAATTTTTCTATCATTCTCCGAATAATGGAAAAATCGACTCCATCAATTTTTTGGATCACAGAAGGGCGTGATCTCTTTTTTCCGGGAGAAGCTAAAGGCTGTGTGGAGGTTGCATTTTGCCTGTCTTTATCTTCTTTTCTAATTTTACTTATAGTTCGTTCACTAACACCCGTATAATATGCCGCCCTTGCATTTCTAGCTACCAGTGGATAAACGAAAGTATTGTTAGCCGCTTCTGCATCGCAAGCACGTATCACGTTTGCTATTATTTCCCTTGCCTGGCTGTGAATAACTTTCCCATGCTTGAATTCCATTATCACCACTAAACAGTAAATTATATTTTCAAAGTATTTGCCAACTGCCTACGCCTATGGGAGTAGGTTTATAAATGACCGTGCCATCGGCACGTTATTCTAGTTTCAGATAAGATAAGAGTTTTGGACCAATCAGCGACCGGATGTTTACCTGCGGCCTGGGTTTTCCAGCTACATTGCCAAATTCAGCGGAACAATTCTATATCTTAAATATGTTAATATGTATGGACCGCATTTTATGTAGAACATCTGACAACTTCGCAATTTTTTGTCCGCATTCTTTCGGCTTGCAATCTTTCGCTGGTCCAACATTACAAATTCCTTAAAAATCCAGCCTCTGTGGGTGTCGTTGTTGTTTCTCTGCATGTACTTCAGATAATTGAACGCATAATACATCAAATGAAAGCTTGTTAGATAGAGATACTTATTATTTACATAATTTGCACATTTCATTACTAGGAGATTTTTTACAGAAAATTGCATTTTTTATCGAATAAGTTAGTAAAAAAATAAGAAAATAATACATTTCAAAAGCGTAATTTTAAAACTTTTGTAAGTTTTCAACATTTTTATTACTTATTATGAACTATTGGAATGTCCGCTATGCGTCGATAAGTTTATTTATATTTCAAATTTAACCGTCTGAAATCGGAATAAAAAATAAAAAAAAAATAAAATTGAAATACCTCAAAAACGGTTAACTTCTGGATAGGACATTATAGGACAAAATCGGTTGCTTTTGACCTAATCTATCATCCCTTAACAGGAAAACGTGACATTACAAGTAGTGTTGTTGATTTTTCTTTTCGTTTTGTATTACCTTGATTTCGATAACTTATTCTTTATCGTAGATCAACATTGTTTACCTTCTATCTGATACGAAGAAGTCGCTACACCGAATTTAAAATCATCTGGGAACCTTTTCGGCGTCCCTTGTCCTTCAGCAATCCTTCAAAAAAATGTTAGTTCAAACGGTATCACTTATATTAGTCACTCCTTAGTTTAGCAAATTTGCATTCACGAAACAAATCTGTACTCCCAGGAAGTCTCTCTAGGATTGTAGGACATTTAAAAATGAAAATGTTTTTTTAAGATTCTACTGAGCAGAAGCATAATCGATACAAGGTTTCTTACTTACAGAACGGATATCACAAACAAACCTAGACTACTTATCGTCATTTTTAAAACAACGGACTCATTAATCTTTTACATCCTGTTATATATAATATTTTATCGACTTTTTATACTTGAAATCGTTTAGCGATGAATGGTAGAGATAAAGAGGGCGATGTATCAGGTTTGTACACCTGAGGACAAAAAATGTGGAATATCACATTTCACTTAAAATTAGTAACATTACTTTCCTTAATGTAACTTCTGAAACGTATCCTGTGGTTTTGCATAATTCCACCGTCTGGTCGAATTAAAACCACATGTTTGTATAGATCTCTGATCATCTTATGTCATTTCAACCTCCATTGTGGTATTTTTGCAGGTACAATAGACAATTCTGTTAGAATATATTTTGTTTTCTGTTTTCCAGGTGACATTTGGTTTCTTTTTTCGTTTTTAACACTCTTATGCAGTGTATTACTACAGTTTACTTAATGAAATAAATATTAAACTGTGATAGAGGTACGAAACATCAAGTAAATTACAACAGAAAGAAGTCTTTTTGGCAGAGTTTTCTTCGGATATCGACCTGTCGAATTGGTAGGTCTTTGATAGAATAGCTCACCAAATGATATGGAGAAAATCGTTTGTTTATCTGATTACACATATTTTAAATTATACCTTTTAAAGGCGACACCACTGAATAAATTACCATCTGTCCGATTTCTGGGTCCGAGAGTATCGTTCGGGTACAGCAGGTACTCAGCTCTGTGCTTTAATTTCGAAGAAATAGGTCTCATAAATTTTCTGTTCTCTAGCTCTTAAATTCTCAATTTCCTTCTGGTCATGATTCCACTAATTATTCATACATTGGCTATTTAATTGTGACTTCAGTACAGATCAATTCAGTATCTTTCATTATCTCGTTAATACTTTGGTTGAATATTTTGATCTTATACAAATTATCTAATTTATATCTCTGGTCCTTCTTTGAATTGATGTTTAAATGTGTAATTAACTATAACGAAAATCCGTTCAATTTCATCCTTGATACTTACTCATTTAGATGACGTTGTTGGAAATGACCTTCACGAATGGTATGAGGATTTTCTTGGGCCCACGTGTGAGTATTATGGAAATTTAATATCCCGTCTCGCGTAAAAGTATACTAAGTGATATATAAATCCGAACACCCAGTTTAAATGGTTTTATTTTAATAAAAGTTGGTGAATGTATTTATCTTACTGTAAATAACAAGTGAAAAAATTTTCAGCCTTATCAGTTGGACATTCCGGTTTTTATACTGCTTTTTTTTAATTCACTAACGCTCTAAAAATGAATACTTCAGCCGCAGTAAAGAATCAACGTTGGCGGATTTTGGTTCTTGACATCCTTTACGATCGGTTACGATGCCTAGAGTACGGAGACCTGTACGATTTCGTGAGTTTGATAGGGGCCGTATAGTGGGACTTCGGGAAGCTGGACCTTCTTTTCGGGCAATTGCAGTTAGAGTGCAAAGAAGTGTAGACACTGTGGTTAGGTGTTGTCAGGCATGGCTACGAGAAGGCCGTACGCAAAGAGCAAGGGCACTGGACGCCGCCGTAGAACAACAGACCGTGAAGATCGCCACCTAAGATTATTGGCCTTAAGGGACAGTTTCTCCACTACCAGGTCTATAGCAAACGAATGAGAAGTTTTGGCTTGTTTTCATACCGGCCACACTGGGTCCTCCCTTTAACTCGAGAACACCGACGTAATCGCCTTGAGTGGTGCAGACAACGGTCACTCTGGGATCAGGAATGGAACAGTATTGTCTTTAGTGACGAGTCTCGATTTTGTTTAGGCATGCACGATGGTCGTGCCAGGGTTAGAAGGCGACGTGGTGAAAGGAGTAATCTACAGTTTTTTGTTGAAAGACATGTTCATCACACTGTTGGAGTTATGGTTTGGGGTGCTATAGCTTATGGTTCCAGGTCACCTTTAATCTTCATCAGAGGTAACATGAACGCGCAGCGTTATATCCACGAAGTTCTAGAACCCCATCTTTTACCCTATCTTGACACCCTGGCAGATCCAACTTTCCAACAAGATAATGCCCGACCACATGTTGCAAGAGTCACAATCGACTTCTTTCAACATAATGATGTCACATTGTTACCATGGCCACCAAGATCTCCCGACTTATCCCCAATTGAGCACGTGTGGGATATGATGGGTAGGAGATTGCTCAATTTGCAACGTCCTCCTCAGACTCTAGAAGCACTTCGAGAGGAGTTGGTGGTTGCCTGGAATGAGATACCACAGGAGGACATTGACCACCTGATCAGAAGCATGCCTAGGCGCGTTGGAGAATGCGTAGCACATCAGGGTGCATCCTCACATTATTAAAGGTCAAAGGGCTTTAAAGCAGTGCAATCATTTTGAAATTTTTATCATTTACTTATTATGCTTCATTAAGTACTTATACAAAATTTTATTAAATAAAACCATTTAAACTGGGTGTTCGGATTTATATGTCACTTAGTATACATTCATCCGTCGCTAGAATGTTTTACAAAAAATTGGATTTTCTATATTTTTGTGCAAAAATCACCGACAGAATGTTAGTCTGCGAGGATAGTCTTCTGGTAACAAGGCCTGCACTCATTGTACATGGTAGGGTTAATGCCCCCGTAGGATTCTATGGACTATGGTATGCGATAGTCCTACATGGCGGCCTAATTCCCGAGTGCTGATATCTGCATTGATTTCCACGATATTTAAAATTCGTTCCTCCTGCTCTACAGTAACCCGTCTTTCACGAGTGCGAATATTAGTGGGCTGAACACTTCTTGTATCTCGAAGTCTTTGGTACACTTGCACAAATGTCCTTCTGTCTGGATGTACCCGTTGGCGAAATCTGTCGCGATACATTTGAGCTTCAAGATTTGAATTCTGACGAGCTTCACAGTAAACTAACAACATGTCGGCAAACTCTTTATTCGAGAACATTGTAAATAAACACGGCGACGTACGCGAACAAAAACAAAACAACACGCCCGATGCTTTGCTCGACAAAACGATAAAGTAATTTATCTATGCAAAACGATAATTAACCACTGTTACGGTTTGCGATCGATTGCCGGTTCGATAAGGGTGATGAATGACCGACGCGCTGTTGTCATCTGTCTTTTAAACATTTAATTTAACGAAACTTACTTACTTACTGACTACAAATTTTGGATTAACTTAGAAAAGCTTAATGCCATTTATTTGTTAATTACCCGATTTAAATACGTTTTAGATTAGATCATAAAAATTAGTAAGATTGTGGTGATTGTGGTCGATATAAAGCACTTAAAGTTGTAAACTATAAAGCCATTTAGACAAAAATCTATTGACTTTTGGGCCATTTCAATAATGACCATAACGTTTACACCCTGTATACGTCCTCGCCGAATAGCGTGACATATTTGGAATTCATTCCTTGAAAGATAAATCCTTTATATTTTCCACTGAGGGTATTAGCCAACAGGATTTGAGGTTTATTCCACATACAGCTAAAAGTTAAAACTGTCAACGATAGACAAAGCATTAAACGCTTTTTTTTTTCATATAAAATTATTTCATATAACACCTGTATTATTTCCATCTGCAGTATTCCAATGTAAAGCCCTTAAAACAAAACAACTCAGTATCAAGTGTATCCGGGAAAGCCTCTCAAGTTAATAAGCTTTTCCCCATTAATAACATGCCTTAAAATATAAATCATTTCTTCCTCCTTCAGAAAGAAAAGAAGGGTTGTGGGGTGCCAAGGGGCTGTTTGTCAAAAGAGAGCGGAACTTTTTGATAGGGCGCCTACCCTGATTGTTTTTTATCGTCGTTTTACATTATGATTCATGGCACCGGATTAAAAAATGGCCTCAAGAACTTTGACTCAGCTCTTCATCCGAATCTGTTTGAAATGTTGGTTACCCGAATATCCTAAACATCAATGATATTGGATTTTTTTAAGGAGAACTCTTAAAGTTAACTAATTGAGATATTTTGTATACCTGTCTGGTGCGTGTGGCAATATATAACGGCCGCCATTTTGAATGTAATATGGGTACCAAATGAAATAGCTTGTTGAGAGAAACACAAAAAGCTAATTGCTAAATGCAATATGACAAAGCCGCAATATTTGGTGATTTATAATGTCTATAGTCGCCCCTATGATATGGGCATCAGATGAAAGGGCTTGAGTGAAACTTAATAAGCAAAGTGACGTCATTCTAATCCAGTATGGCGGACGTTCAATATGATAATTGATGATGCAATATTATTATGACATGGAGATGATCTGATGATTTCTAATGACATGTACTCCATTCTTACGGTCTGATGATTAAGTAAGTCAATTATTGTTTAAAAAATGCTCGTTTATATTACCTATAACTTTTTAACATTAGATAGTTCGATAAAATGTAGGTTTAATCAATTGGGCATGAATATTTAAGAGTTATAAGTACGATTCCCGTATTTAGATGATCTTAAAATATGCGTACATATAAATAATTATGTTTGCTTATGTCAATAAAACAGTAACAAAGACCTTCTACCTTCGTCTTTGTCACACATTCTTCTTTATATTATCCGTTTACATTTGGCATTCTGATATTCAATTTCTCAGAAAGTTAACTCGCTTTTTTATCTATAAACTCATTATATTCTCACTATTTTTTGAAAATCTCACTTTTCTCACTTAAATCGTGCTTTGGGCTGCAAACACCCCTGGGGCTACTGCTGTGCCAAAGCCGAAAAAGCTTTGTAGATTTTGAAAATAGGCCCAGTGGCGACGGAGATATGGAGCAAAAAAAGGAAAAGAAATAGAAATCGCTCAAAAACTTCGTCTTTTGACGTATATCCCATTTTTTTATGTTAGTACGCTCCCATTCCCAATAATTCTACACACCTATCAGACATATTTCACACATCATAGACGTCCTCTTACATATGCCCTTTGTCAAGTTGGGAATCCTAACTGTGCCTTGTTTATATATTTTTTAAAATCTACTATTCGTTAAAAGAAACTCTAACTATGTAACTCATGGGGTCGTCCATGAGCACAAT